AGACCATATAATGTTTGCCCTTCTCTGATTGACTTAGTTCACTCACCATCATACCCTCCAGCTCCATTCACTCTCGCACTGTTGGTGGGAATGTGAATGAGCTTTTTTGTGCTGCTTCCTCTCTGTTCAATTGTCTGAAATCAAATATTTCTACTCTTTCTTTGTGGAAGCAGTTGTAATCAACTCAGTAACAAGCCAGTTGTCTCTCAATTAGATTCTAAAGAGAAATTGTCTCAGACAGTTTTTCAAACTTGGGGACTCTTCTCTGTGTAGACCTGATTTTTTTCTCAAGGTCTTGGTCTGTGTTCTGGTTGCAGATATACCTCTAGTATTATCTGAACAGGTGGATCAGGAGGACACAGGAATGCCTTCACAAATGTTTTTTATAAATATTTTAATGGTTGTTTCTGATCAAGAACCCACTCTAATTCAGCTTTTTTTTTTTTCTGGTGACGTGTGAATAGAAACCAACAATATTTCTAGATGAGGGAAATTACTATTGCTTTGGAAGGAATATTCCATTTGAGTATGAACATTTTCTGTTTTTAGGGAGTTCTGCCAAACCCACCTGTTTTCATATCTAAATCCCTGCAACAGATTTGTTGTCATAACATTTGAAAGCATCCATGCATAAAAGGTTACACACCATGTTTTAAATTTCCTGTTCTTTGATAAATATCATCAAATCAAATATTAAAATTAACATTAAAGGAAATTTCAGGGACACCTGGATGGTTCATCAGTTTGGTGCCTGCCTTTGAGCCAGAGCATGATCCTGGAGACCTGGGATCGAGTCCCACATTGGGCTCCCTGCATGGAGCCTGCTTCTCCCTCTGCCTGTGTCTCTGCCTCTCTCTTTCTATGAGTGTGTGTCTCTCATGAATAAATAAATAAAATCTTTAAAAATAAATAAATAAGTAAGTAAATAAATAAATAAATAAAGGAAATTTCAGAACATCATCAGTAATGAATCAAAATCATGCACCACCCAAAAGACACAATAGAAAAACCTCATCCTTCTTCTCCCCTATCCCTGTCCCAATCATACCCTCATTCTATCATGATGAGACTTCACACAACTCCACATTGAGAAACATTCTATAAAACAGCTAGTATAATCTTCAAAACCATCAAAATCATAGCAAAGAAAATGCAAAAAGTATTCCAGACAGAGGGGACCAAAGAGATAGAGAACTAAATGGTGTATGATTCCTTACTGGCTCATTTTGCAATAAAGAAAAGTATTTGCTTATTAATAAAATTTGGGTAGTCCTGAGAATTAGATAGTACCACAGTATCAACATGAATTGCCTGGATTAGATACAAATCTCTTCATCAATGTTATCATGAAGTTATGTAGAAGGCAAGCTACTATATGACAGAAGATATTTGCCACAGTTATAATCAACAAAAATCTTATTTCCACATGCATAAGTGTCTCCTACAAATCAGTATGTCAAGGAGACAAAACAATGAGAAAAATTGATAAGACTCAGACACAAGCAAAAGTTTGTCCAATAAGCATATGAAAAATAGATATTTAACCTCATTAGAAAATAAAACCAATATGAAACCAGCCTTGATAGAGTAATGGATGCCCAGATTGCTCTCCTAATATAAACCAATAGGAAAATGGGTGGAATATATAAAATAATTATTTCCAGACACTGTAAAACAGGAAGCATGGGGATTTCTTTTCTGAGAGAATGAAAACAAATAAATGATCCCTACACTCAGGCTTTCTGCCTGGAGGACTAGTGAAGAAAGCAAAACCCAAATGAGAGTACAGCTACTTTATTGGTTTGAAAAGACAGAAACCTTAGTTCAGGGAGGCCTGTGTGATTTAGAAACAACAGGGAAAAGCTCAGGAGAAGAGGAAACTAGGTGGGAAATGCACTGTACAAAACTGCCTAGGAGTCCTTGAGTCTTTGCTGTATGGTAAATCGTGAAGTACAGTGCAAAACTCCTCAATTCTGGACAAAGGACAAGTTGAGACCAGTAAGCCTAGTGATTCCTAGAGCTCATCTAATGGGGAGGGACACTCAAGTGCAGTGGAGGGGCCTTTGTAATCATTCAGCACGTTGACAAAGACCACAAACATATCATGTCTTAGTAAAAGGGATAAAGTTTACCAGCATGAGGCTACTTGACAGCCATACTAACCAAGCGTAAAAACAAACTAAAAATACCAAGCTGATCTGTATGTATTACAAGTGCCCAAGGCAACAAAAACTGGCATTATGTTAAAAAAAGAAACAAATATAATCCCTCCAAGTAGCATGTACAATATTCACTATCCAATCAAAAATTCAAATATTCCTGGAATTGAGTCCCACATTGGGCTCCCCACAGGGAGCCTGCTTCTCCCTCTTTCTATGTCTCTGCCTCTCTCTGTGTGTGTCTCTCATGAATAAGAAAATAAAATCTTTTTAAAAAAGAAATAGAGAAAGAATGAAAGGAAGGAAGGAAGGAAGGAAGGAAGAAAGGAAAGAAAGAAAGAAAGAAAGAAAGAAAGAGAAAGAAAGAAAAAGAAAGAAAGAAAGAAAGAAGAAAGAAAGAAAGAAAGAAAGAAAGAAAGAAAGAAAGAAAGAAAGAACCTTAAAATAAATAATCAGCACTGGGGAACTTGGGTGGATCAGTTGGTTAAGTCTCTCAATTCTTGGTTTTGACTCTGGTCATGATCTCAGGGTTGTGAGATTGAGCCCTGCATCAGGCTCTGCACTTAGCAGGGAATCTGCTTGAGATTCTCTCTCTCTCTCTCTCTCTCTCTCTCTCTCTAACCACCCCTCCAAACTCTCCGTTTCTCTCAAAAAGTCTTAAAAATAAATAAGTAAATAATCAATCAGCACTTTGGTAATTTGTAGAAGAATACCAGGCAATTTAACACACGTATAAATGGAGTCACCTAAGAAGACAGAATGAGGGTGAATAACAGGAAAACACTGAAAAAAAATTATGGCAGAAAACTTTCTAACTGCAAAAACTAGGAGCCCACTGACTCGATGCAAGATAGGCCAAGTAAGATAACATGTAAAGGTGACCACATTAAGGTATAGAGTAATTAATTTTTTGAAAGCCAAAAATCAGAAAATCTTTAGACTTGCTAGAGGAAAAAAATATGTACAGAGAAACAAGGAGATTAATGGTAACAAATCTCACACTGGGAAATATGCAATATGCAAGGAAGAGGAAAATGGGAATTTATGAAGTGCTGAGGGGGACTATATCTGATGACTATTCCTTCAGAAATGAAGACATGTGGTCAGGAGATTTTAGGTAATATTGAAGAGGTGTCTATCTTTGAAAGGCAGAACTGTTTCTGGTAATGACTGCTGTATTGCTGATTCTTTTACTGAATGAATTTTTCAAGCTTGCAGCTTGAGCTGAATATATATACTCTCTTTCCAAATAATTGTTTGACCACTGAAGTGCACAGATGGAAAGGAGACCTGTAAGTTGGGCAGGAAAAAAAATGGTGAGAATAAATATAAGCTTCTGTATGTTATAGAAGAGACAGTGTCCAACATTTGAGTCGGTGTGATTGCAACTGCTATCTACTACCAGCAACCAGCAGCCGTGAGAAGACAACAGAATATAGAATACAGAACACTATGATGTCTATTTTAAACTGAAAATTCCTATGTATGCAAAAATGAAAGGGGGATGGAGAAAAGGAGGAGGAGAAGAGAAGGAAGGAAGGAAGGAAGGAAGGAAGGAAGGAAGGAAGGAAGGAAGGAAGGAAGGAAGGAAGGAAGGGATGCTTAGTTTAAAAAATAAGAAAAGACAGAGATGCTTGTGTGACTCAGTTGGTTGTGCATCTGACCCTTGGTTTCGGCTCAGGTCTTGGTCTCATGATCTTGTGATCGTGTATCAAGCCCAGAGTTGGGCTCTCCACTCAGTGCAGAGTCTGCTTGGGGCTCTCTCTCTCCTTCTGCCCCTCCCCCTCTGCATGCTCTCTCTCTTTCTCTGTCTCTTTAAAATAAGTGAAGAAAATCTTAAAAAAAAAGCAAAAATAAAAATTTTAAAAGGCAATAGAAAGCAGACTGAGTTGAGCCCAAAGACCAGTCATTAGTAACTTTGCTCTAAAAAAGGAAATCATTTTTGTCTAAATCCCAGCATTCCCAAGTATAAATTCATGACGATAATATAGCTGACCCTCAGACAACACAGAGGTTAGGGACACTGACCCCTTCTGCAGTAAAAAACCAAAGTATAACTTTTGACTACCCCAAAACTTAATGACTAACAGCCTACAGCTGACTGGACCCTTACCGGTAACATAAACAGTTGATTGACACATATTTGGCATGTTACGTGGCATGTTACGCTCTATTCTTGTGCTAAGGTAAGCTCAAGAAGGGGAATTCATGAGGAAGAGAAAATGCATGATTCGTACTGGACTGTATTTGTAAAAAGCAGGTCGGTGTGTAAGGAGACCCATCCGGTTCAAACCTATAATGTTCGGGCATCAACTATTCTTTGGTGTCTTCTTGTAGGGTGTTGAGGAGATGTATTGTTCCTAAAGTTCTCAGCACAAAACTTCTTTCACTAAAAGGTTCTAAAATTCCGTCTGTCCATGTTTCTTATCTGTATTATTTCTGTAAATTCCTTCTGATGCACGGAAAGGAGACATGGGGCCGGGCTGACGACTGTTGTCGGTGCTCACCGTACCCTGCTCCCTCTCGGGTGTGTCTGAGGAGCGGCTCCAGCTGAGGCACAGACACAGGGCTGAGACCACTGAAGAGACACCCTTTTAGCTAAAGGCTGATGGGACGATGGGCAGAGCTTCAGTGAGCAGGCTGGAGGGACAAGGAGTCAAGGGCAGTGGCAAATGACGCTGCCAGCAGCGGGAGGTAGGCCCCAACGCCCCTAACTGTGGGTGGTGGAGTTTGATAGGCATCAGCCTTCAGCAGCACGTGCCTAAACACACCACAAGGCCCTGATGCGGGGGCACAGCCTGAGGAGCCTCCCGGAGACCAGAGTGGAGATCTTGCCCCCACATGACGGTTCAGTCTGTGCCAAACAGGGAGCAGGGCAGCACCCCAGGAGACTCCGGGCCCCCCTCTGTGCTGCTGGAGCAAACCAGGTACACACCACTCTTCACTCTTCCTCCTGACCTGGGGCCTGGGGTGGGGGGGTCCTTGGGTAAATTCTAGGATGTGGAGACAGACCCTTGCCTCCGGAGATGAAGCCAGTGGGAGGGTGGGCTGCAGTGCGACGTGTCTGCTTCCTGTGCCAGGAGCTCTGGATGTGCTCTGCGCCTCGTGTGTCATCTCCCTGCTCCCCTCCCTCCATGACCTGGGTCCTCACTCATGCTTTCCTGACGGAACTGCCCTTTATGGCAAATACGTTTTCCTCGGGCTCCTTTCCAGGGGACCATGCAGTAGGGCTATTTGTAGTCAAAGTGAATATGGGGAAGTTTTTATTTCGCTGGACTGAGTAGGAAACAGACTTTGCACAACTGTGTCCTCTGCAAGAGCGATAGAGAGAATGGGGCTGCTCCAATAACATATTTCTGGACCTCAAACCGAGGAGAATTAGTGTTTTTATCATTCAAGCATCCTTTCCCAGCCGGGGCGGGGGAAAGAAGGAACCAAACTAGGCTCTGAGTCCTTCTACAATAAGGAGCCGTTTTAAGTACTGTGGGGTAGAGAATGACCAACACCAGTCCTGGCACTTACTAGGAAGTCGGTGTGCCTGGGGGGCAAGTGAATGATGAATGAAGTCAGCAGAGAGAAGTGCCCTTGGGAAGCGCTAAGGATCCCCCAGCAGATCCAGGAGCAAGCAAGCACGGAGAAGTGTGCCCCTGGCCCCGTCAGGGAGCTGGATTTTTCCACTCTGTTCTTTTTATCAAAAGTGAATTTGGAATCCTGCGTACTTTAGATTACCTAAAATGTAGTGCCTCAAACTGTCTTCACATCTTAACTTTCCACTGAGGCTGGAGTGAAATATGTAGAACCAGACAGTGTTGGCACAAATTGAGCACCGTCAACCCTCCCTGTTTCCCTCTTCCTTCCTTTTTTCCTTCTTTCATTCCTTTCTTCCCCTTATTTTTCTTTTCTTTTCTTTTCTTTTCTTTTCTTTTCTTTTCTTTTCTTTTTTTCTTCTTTCTTTCTTTCTTTCTTTCTTTCTTTCTTTCTTTCTTTCTTTCCTTCTTTCTTTCTTTCTCCTTTCCTTCCCCCCGTTTTTTCTTAATCTTTCTTTACTCTCTTCCTTTTAAAAATTGACCAGAAGTTTACACACCCATAATATTGCACTTCCACTTTATTTCATTGATTCCTTACTTGGGAATGTATCCTCCAAGTTTCACTCAACAAAACGGTGAGTGTGCACAACACCAATTTATTTTTGGAACAATGCCTAAGGACGTGGATGCCGGAGCCAGAGAGCTACACTTACCTCATATTAGTTTTGTAACATGGAATATGTTACTTGTCTGTACCTCAAAATGAACTTTTATTCAATAAAAAAAGAAAAAAATATGTATGATTAAAAATTACAGAGTGCGATTGTTGAGATTCAATGAATTATTCACTTAATGAATTTGATGAGATTTAATACAAAATATACCAAGAGTAATAGTCTGTTATTAGTATTTAACCAATATTACCATAGTATATATGAGTAAGAGAGAGGCAGAGCTGGGTAGGGAGGGACAGACAGGGAACTACCTGACTAGGGTCACGTAGGAGTACGTGATCAGGCTCATTGAAAATCCCAGAAATCCTGAGGTATAAGGAAGCCAGAGATAAGGGAACAAACCAGATCACACTGCCCTGGGCATCAGGGTGGGGGGGGAGTGTCTTTCTATGGCAGGCACATTGTGACCACAGAAGATGATCAGATCCTAAGAAGAAGTTAGCCATTAAAGATGTGATCACCAGGCCTCTCACTCAAACCAAGACATCATGAAAATGTTACGGCCACAAGCTCCCTGGTCAGTTCTAAATAAAAGACTGTCGCGGGCCACACTGTCGGGACCCCGCTCACTCCTGGGAGCTTTCTCTGCGTCCTTGCTTCACAAAATTCTATCACTTTGGTTACTTTCCTTTGTCTGCAAGATTCATCCTTCAGCTCCATGAGATAAGAAAGTCACTCTCCTGCTTCATAAACACAAGGTCACAATAGTAGCCAAATTCTACTTAAAAAGTGATTAAGAGTTTCTACTACCCTGCATGACTATGTGAGGAGGTTTACAGAGCTATCCCCAGGCAAACTGGTAAAAATTCTTAAAAAAACATTTAATGTGTCTATAAATAGTTATAGAGAAAATGAATAAAATTTATTGAAGGCAAATAAACTAAAATATGGGGGTAAATCCGTGGTATTTAAATCTAGACCTGCTCACCCCAGCTCCCATTCAAAGATCTGTCTTCCTGAGAGGGGCAGGACATCAACATTTGTCATCCTGCCCCCACTACCTGTTGTGAGGCTAAGTTCCAGATGAATGTACGTGAAGCTTGGGTCTCCTTCTTTCTTCTAAGCCCCTACCTGTGGCTCTTCCTTGGCACAGCACTGCTGAGAATACTGGATCTCGACCCAGCTCATGAGTTGGGTTCCATACCCTGAGAGGTAACGCATACACGAGTCTGATGCCCTACTCCTCTTGGCTGCTAAAGTGGCGGTGTCATTCATAAAGAAGCATGTCCTTGTTCCTCTACCCCAACACCAACACCAGAGCTACAATTTAAAGATTTTTTTTTTTTTTGGCCTCAGGATGGGGAGTAGCAGACCAAAGAACAGAGGCCTTCAAAACACTCCCTAAAGGAACCAACTTCCTTTGAAACAGAGTGTAGAGAAGTTCAAACCCAAAAGTTCTCTCAAAAACAGTGTGGGTTGCAGTGTAAGGTGATCGGAAGCACATCAGCAGATTCCCTGGAGATACGTGCTAACCTGTGTGCTGGTGAGCTTTGCAGGGGAAAGGGAAGCAGAAGTCTGCCTGGGGCCAGCACAAATTTTGAACACTGACCTGGAACTATCTTTTAAAGGAGCTTGATTTTGATTGCACTTGTTTGTGTAGCAATTCAAAAGGCACTGGAGAGGCCCTGTTGAAAACAATCAAGCCGCTAGCCTGCAATTAGTGGAGATTAATAGCTGGTTGAAGGCAAGGAAAGGAACATTCAAAGCAAGCCCCAAGGAAACCATGGTGTTCCCAGGTGACTGCCCAGACTGTGTTCCCTGGGGAGAAACATCAGAGGCTTCATGCTGCCTGGGGAGAAGTTGACTTACTAAAATAGTCCAGCCAGGGAATATAAAAGTAAACAAAGAAATAAAAATAGCAAGCCTAGGAGCAGTACAGTTCCCAGAAATGCTACTGTATATTATGTAAAATGTCCATTTTCTAACAAAAAACAATGAGACATGGAAAGAAGCAGGGACACGTTAGTACAGATAAGGAGTGGCATTTGGGAAAACACACTCATATATGCACCTAACAACAGAACATCAAGATATAGGAAGCAAAACCAACAGAAATTAAGGGAGAAATAGATAATTCAACAATTCTAGCTACTAAGTCAATGCCTCAGTCCAATAACAGACAGAACAGCTTAGTGTAAGATCAGGTATAGGAGGCTTGAACACACTGCCCACCAGGACCTCGCAGTCTTAAGGAGTCAGAGTGGAGTTAGCATTCCATCCAACAACAGGATAGGCATGCTTCTCAAGGGCACACAGATTAGTCTATAAGCTAGGCCATAAAGCAAACTTCAATACGTTTAAAAGGAAAGAAATAATACAAAGTATGTTTTCTGACCACACTGCAGTGAACTTAATAATTAACAATGGAAATGAACTCGGGAAACACACACATGGAAACTAAGTGCCACACTCCTAAAAGATGGGGGATGGGGTGTGGTCCAGGAGAAAGCAAAAGGAAGTTAGGAAATGTGCTTATGGCAAATGGCATAATTTACGGAATCCAGCTAAAACAGCATTTAGAGGCAATTGTGTACCTGAAAATACCTATATTAAAAAAGAAGAGCGTGGCTCAGTCAATTAAGCATCAGACTCTTGATTCCAGCTCAGGTCATGATCTCAGGGGCTTGCTCTGCCCTGGGTGAGGAGCCTGCTTAAGATGTCTCTCCTTCCCTCTGCCCCTCCACTCCCCCCACTCACTTATTCATTCTCTCTCTAAAAAAAGAAAAAAAAAGAATAAGAAAGATCTTAGAAATCAGTAACCTAATATCCCACCTTAAGACTCTGGAGGGAAAAAAAGAAACTACACTTACAACAAGGAGGAAGAAAGAAATATCAGAGCAGAAATTAATGAAATAGAGAATGAAAATAAATAGAAAAAACATCAATGAAAAAAAATCAAGCTGGTTCTTTGAATAGACCAGGAAAATTGACAAATCTTTAGCTATACTGAACAAGAAAAAAAGATAAAAGTCTTAAGAATTAGAAAGGAAAGAGGAGACAGTGCTACTGATCTTATAGAAATGATCACTATAACTGTATAGTGTAAGCAACTGCAGACAAATATATTTCTTAGCTGAAATGGAATGTATTTCAAAATCCAAAAGATACAAAGTACTGAGAAGACTCAAGAGTAAGCAATCTGAGGAGATCTTTAACAGGCAAAGGGGTTGACTTATTAATAAGAATAATTCCCTCAGAAAATCCCAGGCCCGGGTGGCCTCATAGGTGAGTTCTGCCAAACATTCAACGAATTACTATCAGGTTCTCATCAACTCTTCCAAAAAGTAGAAGAGGAGCAAACACTTGCAAGCTCCTTCTGTGTGGACAGTCTTACATTGATACCCAGACCAGGAAGTACATCACAATAGAGGAAAGCTGCAGACTAGTGTTGTTGAGGCATAGAGATCAAATCCTAACAGATCATAAGCAAACGAAATCCTGCGACATGTAAAAGAATGATACACCATAACTACGTGGGATATATGCCAGGGATGTAAGGTAGCTTTAAAGCCTGAAAAATCAATTAATGTACTGCACCATCATTGCACAGAAAAAAAAATGCACCATTGATAGAAAATGATGATCTGAATTGATGCAGAAAAAGCACTTGACAAAATCCAACACTTTTCATTATAAAAGCCCTCAATAACTAGGAATAGAAGGACACTTTCTTAAAAGGCATCTATGAAAATCCTATAGGTAATATCATACTTAATGGTGAAAGGCTGGACGCTTTCTTTCTCCCCAAGAGTAGGAATAAGATAAGGTTGTCTGTAGTCACCACTACTGTTGTCAACATTGTCCTTGGAAGTCCTAGTTAGGCAAATAGGAAATGGGGGGGGGGGGAAGAAATGAAATAAGAGATATTCAAATTAGGAAGAAATAAAACTGTTTCTGTTGGCACATAACATCATTGTGTGTATAGGAAATCTTAAGGAATCCACTAAAAAAATCTATTAGAAGTAACAAAATTGGGATGTCCGGGTGGCTCAGCGGTTGAGCATCTGCCTTCAGCTCAGGGTGTGACCCCAGGGTCCTGGGATTGAGTCCCGCATCGGGGTCCCTGCATGGAGCCTGCTTCTCCCTCTGCCTGTGTCTCTGCCTCTCTCATGAATAAATAAATAAAATCCTAAAAAAAAGAACTAATAAACTAAATCAGGAAGGTACAGGATACGAAATCAATATACAATAATCACTCTAATTCTATACACTTGCAATGAGCAAGTTGAAAATGAAATTAATAAGACACTTTACAATAACATCCAAAAGAATAAAAATATTTAGAAATACATTTAATAAAAGAGGTATAAAATTCAATGCTACAAAAATATTATTCAAATAAGATATAGTTAAATGAAAAAATATGTTTTTGAATTATAATGTTTAATATTGTTATAATGGCAATAGCCACCAGTGACCTATAGAAATTCAATACTCTCTCTCTCTCTTACAACCCCACCGGGCTACTTTTTTAAAAGTTGATACACTGATTCTAAAATTCAAATAGAATTGCAAGAGGCCCCGTATAGCAAAAATGTTTTTGCAAAAGAACAAAGTGTAGGACTCACATTTTCAGTTTCAAAGCAATAATAATCTGGAAAGCACGGTATTGGCATAAGGATAGACATCAGTACCAACAGAATAAAACTGAGAGTCAGAAATAAGTTCATGTGTCTGTTTACAGTCAACTGATCTGTGAAAAGAGTGCCAAAACCATTCAAAGTAGGAAGAACATTTTTTTCAACAAATGGTATTGGGAGCAACTGGATAGCCATGTGCAAAATAATGAAGTTGGACCTTAGTTCATACCATAAATAAAAATGAATCCAAAGTGGATTAATCTAAATTTAAGAGCTAAAATCACAAAACTCTTACAAAAATATAGAATAAATCTTCATGACCCTGAGTTTAACAATGGGTTCTTAGAGATGAGACCAAATATGTGGGAAACAGAAGAAAAATAATCAAGTGGACTTCATCACAATAAAAGCCGGGCTTTGGAGGAGACCATTAAGAAAGTGAAAAGTCATCCATAGAATAGGAAAAAAAATTTGCAAATCATATATCAGATAAGGGACTTGAATATAGGATATGTAAGGAACTCTTGTAAGTCAATACTAAAAAGACAAATGACATAATTTTAAATGTGCAAAGGCTTGGACTAGGCATTTCTCCAAAGAATATGCACACATGGCCATAAACATATGAGAAGATATTCAAAATCATGAGTCACAGGGATCTCCAAGTCAATACCACAATGAGATACCACTTTATATCCACTAGAACGATTAAACCAAAAGGTCAGTCAGTAACAGATGTTGGTGAGGATGTGGAGAAGCTGGAACCGTCACACACTGCTGAATGGAAAATAGCTGATCCACTCTGTAGAACAGGTTGGCCATTTCTCAAATAGTTAAACACAGAATTATCATAGGACCCAGCAATTCCACCGCATGTCTACACCCAGAAGAATTAAAAACATATGCACATACAAAAATTTACACATTAATGTTTACAATAGAAAGATTCATAATAGTCCAAAAGTGGAAACAACCAACATGCCTGTCAACTGATGTGGATAAACAAAATGTAATATATCTTTATAATGGAATATTCTTTGGTCATAAAAAAAAGAGAGAAAGCACTATACATGCTACAGTATGAAGTAGTTCTTTCTGGACCATCTTGCCACCTAGTCCACATAGAACTTCTTTCAAACCCAGATACAAGAGTGACAGATTTCTATAACCTAGAAAATCTCCCAGACACCTGATAAATGATATTTCTAAAGCTCCATCATTTTCTTTCTCCTTTATTTTTCCTACTCTTGCCGCTAGGGGCCTAATGTGGGTGTACTGCTGGGATCTGCAATCATAGACAAACATGGCTTGGCTTGAGACCCTTTTGACTTTGAGATATAAAGTCTGCAGAAATGGGAACATTAGTGTCTACTTCATGTTAATATTCCTCATAGACAAGCAGAGTATCGTGAGTAAGGAGTAGTCAATACTGGATAGTGAATCTCACGCTGGTAACAGATGGTTTCTTTACAGAATGGGAGAAATTGTGGGTTCCAGTGGGATAACTGTGGATATTTCCTTCAATCAAAACCAAGGTATCCAGTTAGGGAAGGCTGGGACATCCAACGCCTCAGGACACACACCAGGCAAGCTGCAGAGATTCCTGAAGGAACATCTCAGGCAACTGGGGGTACGTGCATCTTAGCCAGGTGGAGTTTTGGAGAGGAGAGACTGGAAGCTTTGTTTAATCTTGGTTGGTGATGGCTGCTGGGTTGACTGGAAGGTGGTAGAGTGGAGCGCTGGGAATCCCTTGGAGGAGACTTGATGGACACCAATGTGTGCCTGTCGGGGTGACCTCAGCCAAGAGGACAAGCCTTCACAGTGATGCTATTTCAACTGTTGCCATTAGAGGGAGGAGATGTCATTGCACTGGGCTCTACTGAAGAGCTTTTTTTTTTTTTTTTTTAAGTTCAATTTAGTTGACATATAGTGTATTATTAGTTTCAGGGGTAGACTTAGTGACATCTGAGGGTTCACTCCATGAAAGATCTTTATGTTTGAACAAATAAATCTTCTCTCTTGGAATGTTCACTGACGTCTATACTTTATTCTGTTCTGTCTTTTATCCAGGTGGTTCAGATTATGATTGGCGTGAAATTCATCGTCTATGGGACACTTGGAATTACGGTTCTCCATTACACAATACACAAAATTGGTTTCTTCTCATTTCAGATAGGCTTCCCCATATGGGCAGCTTTATCTGTGAGTACATCTGACTTATGTCTAAAATAATTAATAGTTCAATTAAATCTTCACTCAGTCATCCATTCAATTGTGCATTAGCCTCCTGCAAATGCTGCAGAGTTTTCAGACATGCTAATCGAAGGTTCAGTGTTCAATCTCAGCCATTCTAAACCTTCCATTGTAATATGAACCTTAAGGTCTACATGCTGGGGATTATTTGTTAAATTCTAGGTGTGTAGCATAAAGCCATACAGTAAAATCCTGCTCACTTGCTTAGGAGACTATATTGGGTTGGGTTACTAGATAATCCCTGGTTCATCCCCAGAGTTATCTTCAAATGTGCAAGGGGTATTGAAGTGTTGAAGATAATGGTAAGGTAGTGAACTATTCCTTTCAACTTCTCTGTTTTCCATGAATATCATGTTGTATGATGAGTGCATATAGTCCCTTCTCTGAACCTCAAAATAATTAATTTGTATCTAGCTCTTTTTTTTTTCATTTTTCTCCACCTTCCATTAAAACATTCACAGGAATCCTTTGATTTCACCCCTCTACTTTATGTAAGGATTTTTATTTTATTTATTTTATTTTATTTTATTTTATTATTTTTTTAATGTAAGGATTTTTAAACCTTTAAATAATGTCAATTATTCTGATAATAATGTGAATACAGCCATGAAAATTTAGTCAATCATCTACTTGAAGTTTTGAAGGGATTTCCATAGGAAAAAATATACACTAAGGATAAAGTTAGTCTTTTAGAGGTGGACTGTAAATGTCCAGGAAGCAGTGCTAATATGCCCATTTCTCTCTCATGAGCAGTTTATTATTTCTGGATCTGTGACAGTTGTGTCTGCAAAGAAGCAAACAAAAGCTCTGGTAAAGTATCAGTGAATTCACATTTATGAATAGTATGTGGCCACTAATACTCTGATTTCCTATATGAATCCCAATGAACCAGAAGTTCCACAGCTTTCCGTACATTTGAGAACAAGTTCAAACGTCTTTTCTTTCCACTAATTCATCTGATCACTCCGGGTCTGGATATAATCAGAAGCTCTCTCAGGTTTAGATTACATATATTCCCCTGGAGTTTCAGAACACAGACCTCCATGAGTAAACCTGGAGATAGATTTTACAATCATGAATGGTGGTGATATAGAGAAATGAATGCCTTTAGCCTTGAACAGGGTAGACATCTATTTGGGCCCATCCAGAGCGAGCAAAGGAAATAATAAAGGTTTATGGGGACCTGCAAGAATATGGAAGTAAGAGTGGCTGGGTGGCTCTAACTCTTGATTTCTGCTCAGGCCCTGATCTCAGGGCTGTGGGATGGAGCCCTGCCTTGAGCCTGTGTCAGGCCCCATAATGGGCTCCTCACTCAGCACAGAATCTGTTTGAGATTCTCTAGCTCCCCCTGCCCCTCCCCCACTCGGTTGCCCAAACTCTGTCTCTAAACGACATAATAAATCTTCATAAAAAAGAATGTTGAAGTAAAGTGTCCTGAATATTTTCAGTGAATGAACTTTCTTTCTATTTCAGCTGAGAGGAAATCTGAGAGCTAACACTCTCAGCACAATTGTTTCAAGCACTGGAATTCTTGTTCTCTCAAACAACTTAATAAAAATCACCTTCCTGAAGTTTGAGAAAGAAAATTTATGTTCTGGCATCACATCAGTTGCAACTGTAAGTATTTTCCTTCTGAATGCTGAAAAGCCTGATAACTTCTGAGGCCCAGGATCAGGAGATCAGATGGTCTAGGCACAAATCTAAAAAAAAAAAAAAGTTCCTGCACTTGAGTTTTATTCATAAGTTCTAGCTAAATTTGATGTCCTTTTAACAAGAGGCAACATATTCCATTCGATTCAATTGGGCAGAGAGCACAATATTCCTGTATCCCAATTGGATAGCTTCATGAAAAATGGCAAACAAATGGATCAACGTTATTTATTTCTTGGTCCATGACTGCTGTGATTTCCATTGTCTGCTTTATATTAATTATTTCACAAATTTTCTACAATAAGTATGCATTACTTATACAATTAAAAACAGTAAATAATAATAATAATAACTTCTGTACAGGATTATATTTTATCTGTTTTACCAGTACCTGTGAGCAGACCTTCTACTATATGGCCATGTAGAAGAAAGGGAGAATGAATGTCAAAGGAAGAAGAAAAGAAATATGTACTATACTTGGGGAAAAAATTTTTTTTAAACAAAAACAAGAAGATTGGAGGATTACTACTAGTGGAAAAGTTGGAGTAACAGGGCCTGGGTGCCTCCTTTCACTTGAAACACCACCAACAACAAAACTCAAGAAATATATGAAACAATGATTCTTAAGACACTGGACATTGATGGTAATAAAGAACTCGATCCCTGAGGATGAAATAAACCTTACAAATGAAGCAAGCCTAAAAACTACTCTCATGTACTGACTTGTGAGCATTTCCTGGCCAGAGCACAGGGTTGGACAATCCAGGCAGAACCAAGAAAACTGTCCAAATTGAGGAGATGGGGGAAGCTGAGAGTCAGGAGAAGCTACAGCATCTAGAGTCTACAGGAGAGAGCACCTGAGAAAAGAGATCTGCAAACAGAGATAATTCCAGATATATTCAATAGGTCCCCTTTGATATTAATTGCAGTACTTATCAGTGCATGCTCATGAAAGAATACCAAAGGCGGAGAAAGCATTGCCCCAAATGATTAGAGGAACAATACCCGATATTCACATACGGCCATGAACAGTGTCTGTTTCTACCTGCAAGTCTGTAAAAACATCCTGTATCCAACAGGATAAAAATACAATGTCCCACATCTAATAAAAAGTTACCAGACCTACAAAGAAACAAAATAAAATGTTTTGTAATGAGATAAATCAATTGAAACAAACTCAGGAAAGACACAGATGTTAGAATTAGCAGACCATGATGCTAAGAATTACTTTATTCAGCATCCCATATTTTCAAAAGTTAAGTACAGACATGGAAAATATAGTTTTTAAGTCCCACATCAAACTTCTAGAGAAGAAAACAGCCTTGTTTGGGGCGCCTGGGTAGCAGAGCTCGTCGAGCATCTGACACTTGATCTCAGCTCAGGCCTTGATCTCAGGGCTGTGATTTCAAGCCACACACTGAGCCCTATGTTGGGCATGGGGCCTACTTAAAAAAAAGAAAAAAGAGTAAGAAAACTATCATATTTGAGAAGAAAAACCGGACGACAGGATTAATGACAGAATAAACATTCAAGAAAATAAATACTAATAAATAAAATATTAATAATGACCTTGAAGAATAATATTAAAAACTCTGCAAAGTGAAAAATAGAGGCACAAAATAAATGTGAAAATATTAAAGGAGCATCAGTGACTGATGAAATAACTTCAAGTTATTGAAGAGACAGGTAATTGGGGTCCCCACAGAAAGAGAGTGTGGGACGGGAAAACAATATTTGAAGAAGCATTGGGTAAATTTTTCCAAAATTTTTAAAAATCTGTATATTCATAGAATCCAAAGTTGAATGAACTTCGAGTGTAAGAAATCAAACAGTAACTATCTCAAGACTCATCATAGTGAAATTTCTCAAAACCAATGACTGAAATATGAAATATTAAAATATGAAAAGCAGCCAGAACGTGAAGAAAAACACATCATAAAGAGAATTGCCAACAGATTTCGCATCAGAAACAACACAAAGGAGAACAGAGGGATCCCTGGGTGGCGCAGCGGTTTGGTGCCTGCCTTTGGCCCAGGGCACGATCCTGGAGACCCGGGATCGAATCCCACGTTGGGCTCCCGGTGCATGGAGCCTGCTTCTCCCTCTGCTTGTGTCTCTGCCTCTCTCTCTCTGTGACTATCATAAATAAATAAATTTTTTTTTTAAAAAAAAGGAGAACAGAGTGAAGAAAAAATTTTAAAGTACTGAGAGAAAAAAATTTGTCCCCCTAGAATTCCATGTCTAGTGAAAATATCTTTCCACATGAAGACACAATAAACATGGTTTTAGACACACAAAGGCTAAAATAATTTCTATGCAGAGCCTAACAATACAAAAAAGTGTGAAGTTCTTCAGGAAGAAGGAAAATGAGCATCTACACAAAGTATGAACACCATAGATGGAGACAACATGGGAAAATATATAAGAATTTTGTGTTATTTAGATATCTTTAAAAGATAATTGACTTTTTAAAAAAGATTTTATTTATTTGTGAGACACACACACAGAGAAAGAGAGAGAGAGAGAGAGAGAGAGAGAGAGAGAGAGAGGCAGAGGGAGAAGCAGGCTCCATGCAGGGAGCCTGATGTGGGACTTGATCCTGGGACCTCAGGGTCACGCCCTGGGCTGAAGGCAGGAGCTAAACCACTGAGCCCCCCAGAGTGCCCAAGGATAATTGACTCTTTAAACAAAATTAATAGCAATGTATTTGGGGAACTTAAAAATATGTATAAATCATGTGTAAAATTACAAAAGCATCCAGTCCAAGAGGGTAGAGACTACATTATTATAAAGTCCTTATATCACAAATAAAAGCGTTATAATATCAATTGAATATAGATTATGATTGTTTAAATGTATATAATATAAATCCTAAAGCAACCACGTTAATAAGCACAGTTATATCTAATAAGCAAAAAATATTTGAGATCACAAGACTATATAAATAATCCAAAAAAGGTAGCGCGGGGAGGCCACAGGCATGAGGCCTCCGGAGGTCACGGTAGGGTGGGGGGAGCAGTCCTGCTGGGCCTTGCACCTTTCAGATGAATGATTATAAGGGGATCTTCAACCTGTAGGACACTCCTGGTTTCAGTTAGGAGACCAGGTTCAGGAAAGGGAATTTGGATCCCCTTCCATGTCTCCTTGAATCCCCTATCCATTGAGAACACTTGCTCCTATAGACACTGCATCTTTCCTGCGGAGAATGAACAATATCATGATACCAACAACTTATAAAATGATCCTAACACAGGAAAGTAACCAAGGCTTTTTTTTTTTAACGCAGGCATTGTTGTGCTAAAATTCATAGGAACACTGGCTTTCTTTCTTTTTTATTTCTGAAATTCAGTTCGTCAAAAGCAATGTTACATCTTTAGGCTCAGACCCCACCCGGCAAGTCACTGCTTTGAGGACCACCTAGATGGACTCCAAAGGCCCGAGTGGGCTCCGGCTGGGGGGTCTCCAGAGGGCAGGGGAGCAACATCCAACCCAGTGTGCTCTACTCTCTTAACAGGGCCTGGTGGTCTTGCTGATGCTACTCAACTGTCTGCAATTTTCAATCACACTTGCTCTGTGTGTGCTCGACTATCACGTGGACGGTGAGAAAATTGATTGGGTAAGTGGCAGTTCTTGGGAGAACGGGGATGTAATGGGTTATTTTATTTGGCGACCTGGGCTGTGATTATTCGCATGATCTTGGAGAGGAACAAAGACAAAACAGGTGGTATAGAATTTCCGAGAACAGCTATATATATATATAAATTTGTTTGTTATTGGTGTTCAATTTGCCAACATATATAATAATAATAATAATAATAATAATAATAATAATACCCAGTGCCTGTCACCCAGTCGAGAACAGCTTTTTATACGTCGACCGTACTTTCGAGCACAATGATTGCTGCCTAGGGTAATCAGAAGCTTTACCCGACGGCGACACCGAGTAATTCCGTTTTGTTGCTAGTTTATGGATCCACTGATGTGCATATTTAACAAACACAGGCGATGCACTGTGTGACTCGGCAAAGATGCAAACACCAGTCCTTCCTTGGAATGACTCCAAGCTGTAGGGACGAGTCGTGCCCTCGGGCACTGGCACTGGGCCAGGAACTCAGACCACCTTCAAAGCGCCTGCAGGGTGTGATTTTCTCTTCCTTTCCTGCCCCGGGTCAGGAGTAGGCGGCCCACACCCAGTGGTGTCACCCTTGCCTCCTGCACCGTGTGGTCTCTCTCTTGGGTACAAGTTGCTGCTCTGGCTCCTTCCTTTCTGCCTGCATCACACCCCAGATCTTTGTCATGAGGCCACACACGGTTTCAAGGGACGTTGCACAGTTCAGTCATTAGCTGGACGTCATCTGTGTAGGTGAAGCCCAGGGGTTCTGCTACCCAAGGACGCAGATGGTATCAAAAGCGGGCAGGCAACCCTGTCACATTGGGTCCAACCTTCCTCCCCCAACTGAAGGTCCCTCCCCACTCCTCCAGGAGAAAATCCTTGAGAAAACACAAGTCTGCTGCATTTGTTGTTCTTGGCTCAAAGTCCAGGATTCTTGAGTGATTTGCCATCCTCCCCTACAACCCTGGAACTACTTACTAGTTTAAGAAGCTACTAAGTAGAAATCCAGCTGGCACGCACGTATCCTCAGAGCCAAGAGGTAATAGTCGATGATGAGGATTAAAAATAATAACAATCCCCAGTTTGAAAAACAAGCCCCGGTAACCTCCCTGTTACACATCCTTAGGAATGATCTGACGGTGAGCCGTCCACGCGAGGGCATGGCTTTCCCCTCTGCTCATTTACTAAATAGCCCCTTACTGTCACCTGTCTGGATACTGAAGCGTTCTCCCTGCCGGGGGCTGGATTGCTGCGCCCCACCCTCTGATGGGGCAGGGGCATCCGGGAGGCAGGTGTCCACCGTTCAGGTTTCTGCAGTGCTGGCTGCTGAGTCGATGAAAAGAGAGTCTTAAAAAAATCCGGGGTGGTTTAACAGCCCTGTTGTCTTCAGCCTGAGCTTCCCGTCTGTGGTCTGTGCCAAGCACGCAGTTTCAGGCCCAGCAGGAGAGGAAACACATTTACTTTGCGTGTGCCATTCAGGAGTGGCTCACAGTGTTCTTTCTTGCACTCCCTTGGCTTCAGAATCTGGCCACTCAGAGATGAAAATAGCCTTGAAAGATCAAGTCACATTCAATGTTAATTAATTGAATTCAAATAAAATTAAACATAAAAAAAAGAAAGAAAGAAAAAAATCACAAATCGACAGCTGCTTGCTCAGGTAAACGCAAATGGATTTTTTTTAAAGGAGTGAGAGAGAAAATGTAGCCTTACCCCTCCTATAAGAGTCTTAAAAAAAGGGTGCTAAATATATTTTTGGAAAACACAATGGTCCTCCTGCAAACATGTAGAATTTACATATATTCTCTTGTGAAATCTTCTTTACACATTTATGTGTGGACAGACATAAAATCACACACGTGAAAATATATATTAAGCTTCTAACAGGCACAGATGATTTCTAGGCCCTCATAAATATTCAAGGTTCCCAGGAATAGCCAGGCTGACTTCCAGGTTAAGGACAGACAAGGAGGGTGGCGACATTGTATCCTTCCCTAGTGTGTGTCATCCTGAATATCTTTTAAGAGGTAAACTTTCTTTTTCCATTATATTCCGCAAATTCTGTGGACATGGGCAAATGGGCTGGACAATGTCCACATGCACCCCGACACAGGGGTGGACCTTGGGGTAACTTGGCGGCATCAGTGGTGCCTGGAGTTGACCCCCACTGGGCCGTCTCTGGGGGGAGTTTCCTAAGTAACAGGCACTCAGAGTAATGTGGGGTAGACTTCAGAGGCCAGGATACACCCTCAGGAATCAGACTGGAAAAGAACTCTGAGGATTTAGGGGAAATGGTTCTGAATGATGTTTTGGCTTATTTGCAGCTTTCGGCATTATTTTCCCGGAAATCAGCTTCAGGGAGTCCTGATGAAGGCTTGCTGCCTCACCCTTCACTCTACCAGAATCTTGAGAGGAAGGACACACTGTTATACTACAACACCTGAGACAGGAGTACAGGAGTGAGAATGTGCAGTCATGGAGGTGGAAACTGGAAAAATAAAACAACAGAAGGCCGAAAGCTTGTCTGGATCCTCTTTTATTGACTCCTGTAATATCAACCGGCATAGACAATGATGCCATAAGAAGATCTAATCCCCAAAATGCTTCTTGTGCTTATCATAATTGGATCAAATTAGTTGCATATCCCATGTGACCTAATAGGTCAACAGGTGCACCTGCCAATTAAAATCACATTAAGCAAAACAGACTGAAAGATTTAGCCGTGGTTCCATGGAGGCCTGAGTACAGGTGGAAACAGATGAAAGACAGGTCCATACCACGGGCCTTCTTTGCTGTCATGTCTAACCAATAGAGCTTCTAACCAATAAAAGATTTCTCATTCTCTTTTCATGTAGGCAAATCTGAATAAACATTACAGCCATTACCAGTATCAGAGGCAGCTTCTCAAATGTAAAAGACTAGTAACTTTTTTTGACCACTTAGGATGATTATTTTTCCTGACTTTCCTTGGGATAAAGACACCACATAACAGTCACAAGCCTCCCTCACAAAATCCTCCTGGATATAATTTTTAAAATTCTCTTTACTCTAGTAGTCTTTCTCCTCCCTGGCTTTATTGAGATATAATTGACAAAATGTAATATTTTTAAATTATACAATATGGTGACTTGATATATGCACACCTTGTAAAATGACCTCCAGAACTGAGTTAACAGACATATCCATCACCTCACACAGCTGCTGTGTGTGTGTGTGAAAGCTTACGATCTACTCTGTTAGCAAATTTCAAGTATGCAATACAGTATTATTAACTACGGTCACTGTGCTGTATATCAGACCCTCAGAACCTTTCCATCCTATAATTCTTCTTTTTAAGTTCTTATTTTAATTGTTTACTTAAATTTCAAATAGTTTACATACAGTGTAATATTAGTTCCAGGTGTTGAATTTGGTGATTCAACACGTAACCCTTTATTGCAAGTCATCCCCGAACTCTTAGCACCACAGTGAGAGTTGGGTGGCTCATGGCACACTTGAGGAGAATGACAATATGACCCCGCCCAATTATATATCCAAATTAAATGGACCATCTAGCACTTTCCTTTCTGAAGTCATATTCTTTTTACCTTTATAGAAATAAAAATAAGAGCACAAATGCTTAACAGCACCCTACTAAGGTGTGTGTAACTGACCTGCAAAAAACTGTACATTTAAACTAGCAATCTATTACAAGAAGAAAACTGGGAAATTCAAAAAGATGAAATTAAACAAAATGCTGCTACTAAACAACCAGTATGCAAATTAAAAGAGAAATTTAAAAATATCTTGTGACAAATGGAAAGAAAACACCAAAACATGGGATGCAGCAAAAGCAGCGCTAAGTCGGAAGTTCATAGCCGTGAATGTCTATGTGAAAGAACAAGACCTCAAAAAAGCAACCTAACTTTACACCTCAAGGGCTAGACTGAATCTCCTTTTACATAATGTTTCTAGAATAAATTTCTAGAATAAATCTTAGCAGTGGATTGTGGAAATCTCAAATTTATGAGGATAATCCTCAGTATTTTTCTCAGCAAGAGGTAGTCTATGGACTAATTAAGCTTTCATATGTAAGTTAAAATATCTCCCTAAACAGAAAACACACGCTTCATCAGCAAGGCCTTTGGCACGTGATTGGTAACGGGGACCTCAGGTTTGTGCTCAGAATGGAAAGCAGTGATCAAGGCTTTGTTACCTGAAACTGTGACTATCCAAAAGTATCCCAACCGTGGAGATTAGGAGCTGTGTCACCATCCTGCAACCGACTCCATCACAGAACACCATCTGCTAGAAATGAAGTTGCAGAAAGATGCTTAAGGGCAGTACGTCCTCAGCTCCCCAAACAGCAGGGAGCTGTGTCTTGCTTAGTAAAACCTCAACACGGTGAACCCCATGCCCACGGTCTCAAGTGCCTGGTAGGGATGCAGCTCGCATGCATGTCTGCTGTGTTTGGGGAATCTGCCAGGAAAGCTTCAGAAATGGACTCTCATGAAATGATGCTCCCTAGTCTTCAACAACATCTAGGTAAGACTGAACGGTGTTTGGGGACAGAGCTAGGTATTTCTCCTATTTACTTACATATGCAGCTATCCTCTTAGATTCTCAGAGGATTCTCAGTCTGGGCCAGTGACTAAGGCTCATATAAGTTTTCATTGAGTTGTCCCATGCAAAGAAAATATAGAAGAATTAGTTTTACAAAAAGCTCTTGTTATGGAACTAGTTATTAGAGAAGGCCATCGATGTCTAAGGGCATTTCCTTTTCCATAAAATATTCATATATATATGACACCTGGGTGACTCAGCAGTTGAGTGGCTACCTTTGGCTCAGGGCGTGACCCCGGGGTCCAGGGATCGAGTCCCACATCGGGCTCCCTGCATGGAGCCTGCTTCTCCCTCTGCCTGTGTCTCTGTCTCTCTCTCTCTGTGTCTCTCATGAATAAATAAATAAAATCTTTTAAAAAATTACCTGACTCTGATTGCAAACAATGTGATGATTTTATAGACTCTCAGAATACTTCTAAACTGGGCTTTGAAATGATCGCAATCATGGAGTCATTCTCAAAGGGCAGGAGAGAATCTCCTAAAACCCGTATTCTGTCCAGAATGTGCAACCCTGAATACTTTTTCAGTGGCCTTCAACATTGGCTAGCTAATTCCCCTTTATCCAATTAGCCACTTCATCCAATTCTATGTAACAAATAATTCTTTTGAAAATGTATATCAATGTAAGGACTGTGATCCATGAAGGAGGTGTACTTGATGTGGATCATGTTCTCCAAGTACTCATTGTTCTTGCTGAGAAATAGGATATTGCACAAAAAGACTCTCACTTCTGAAGAGTGTGTTTTGTAAATCACGAGTCAGTTGAAGAAAAATTATAAAATATGCACTTGATCATTATGAAGTCACGGTTTGTCCGGAGAGAAATAATTTGCTTTTAATTCAGATATGACTTGATGATGACAAACTAGGATTAAAAGATTAAAAAAACAATAAATTAAGCAGTGAAGACAGAAAGTAATGAGCTACTTATAGTGTTATGAAAATATAAGAAAAATACACTTTTTCCTAACAAAACACAGAATTAACACAAAATGCATTTGGTTTGTAAGGTAAGCCAGGGTGGAATATTTCATCACCATCGAGAATATGTCCATCATTTATGAAGGAGAGTAAGCAGGGTCAGTGGCAGAAACTCACTGTGCTCCATCCCTCAATCTTTTCTTTTGACAGGATTTTATTTTATTTTTTAAAAGAGTTACTTAATTTTTTAAAGTTTTATTTATTTAAGGAATCTCTACACCCAACATGGGGCTCAAACTCGAGACCGCGAGATCAAGGGTCACATGCTCTTCCGACTGAGCCAGCCAGGCACGCCTCTATCCATGATTTTAATTGGCAGGGGATTATGATTTTGAGGCTCATCCTCTTTGTGCTTGGACTTGTCAACTCAGTGTCTCTGGATTTAGGTGCAAGTGCTATTTGCTACGATGTGAGCTCAGTGAATGTGGTCTGGAGGACTTGGAATGTGTTCTAGGGCTTCTCCGCCATTCTCACATTTACCTCTATTGTTATTAGGCAGTATGCAACATATAAAAGCCCTGAGCCCCTGTTTAATGCTACACATCTGTGCGAGGAGCCCATTAGTGCTCAGTTTTGCCCCTGGGATCCACAGGCATAAGATTGGACTGGGCACAAATTGAGGAGGTGCCTAAGGTGTACATGTTTGGATCAGAACAAGACAAAAGTAGGATCCATAAGGACATTAGGAAATCTATGGCCTTGAGCAAAAGAAACCCCACATGCTCATCTGTTGTGTGTCCTGATTTCTCCACAGGCGGTAGTTGACTTATCTTCCAATGAGTGTGAACTCTCCATGATACCTCCACGTCATGATGATGATGGTGTGGCTTCCCAACCCACCTGCATTGCTTGATATATCTCTTCAATGAGAAAATCCTAGATTTATTCTAGTTTGTGCTCTTGAATTTATATCAGTCTCCACAGCGAGAGGAGCTGAAGTGTCCTCAGCGATATGACAGTCATAGGTTTGTTAATGCTGACTTTGCCAGGGTCATCTACTCTTTCCATCAACGTATCACCTTTGAACATGATGAATTAAGCATACGATGCTCATGGCATCTGGACTATCATCATGCCACAGCCTTCTTAGCATGAAGAAAGACACATCAGGAAGTCTGTTGAAGGTTTCGGGTGCTGTCTGCTCCTAAAGAGAATGTCTCAGGACCACCGATCTGTACAATTTCTAGAAAGTCATTCACTTCAGATCATACTGTGAATGCCATTTGGAGTCATGCAATAGGCCATCTGTGCCAGAGTGTGATTTTTCTGACTCCTTCTGCACAAAACCATGTTATACATTTCACATGTAACCATGAAATATAAATAATTAAAAATGAACCCTGTCCTTAGCACCTGACCTTATAGTAGGCTCTCCTGTTACTTATGTAGGTCTTTGGACTTGGACCCAAACTAACAGTGGCTCTGTGGTCTCCAATCTGCTGATTGTGGAACTTCGGACTTCTCAGCCTCCACAATCACACATGCCAAATCTTTATAATAAATGTCATTGTTCATATCAGTGCATCTTTCTGGTTCTGCTTCTCTGGAGGACCCCGATCAATACAGATAGACTTGTATCGTGAAAAGAAATTGAATTCATAATTAAAAGACTTGTCATGCACGGAAGATTGGGTGGAGATGGCTTTGCTGGTGAATTCTCCCGAACATTCAATGAAGAAGTAATACCAATATTATACAAACAACTTTCCGAACATTGAAGAGGAAGAAAAACTTCAGAGCATATTTTTGAGGCAAGTAGTAACCAGCTCTCTCACTCTGCAAAATGGATTAAAATATCATTAAAATATGCATCTATTTACATGAACTTAGACCCATATATCCTTACCAAGACTAATAAATTAAACCTAGCAACATATAAAACAGGTATGTCACAGGAAAACTGGTTTATGCAGGGTGTGGAGGTTGTTTACACCTCTGGATAAAGGGGAGAAACTATATGGTTGTTACAATAGGGAGAAAAAGCTGTTGAAAAAGATCAAACTCTTCTTTTTTTTTTTTTTGGTCTACTACCACCAAAATCTGCACCTGCTGTGGCTCCACTGGTGTCTTCTGGGCTTCAAGGTTCATTGCATTGGCCCTCCTACTAGTCACAGCATGGAGACCACAGGGTGGGGGGTGGGGGGAACCGCAGTACTTCCCACCTAGGACTCCACACCCTCCCACACCACCCCCCTCCAGCCCCTCCATTTTCAGGGCTAGTTGGCTCGCAGGTGAGTTGTTACCCACTCCTTAGTGGATTCTGACTTCCATGGCCGCTGTCTTGTTGGTCAAACTCCTTTCATAATAGAACTTTTCAGCGAATAAAAGAATATACTGAAAATTCTTAAAGTTAAGAAAAGGCAGAGCAGAGCTCTCTTTGAAAGCACATATGCTAACACTGGAACAATACAGAGATGCTTTACCCGGCCTCTGAGCAAGGATGACACTCACGTTTGTGAAGAAAAGGCAGAGCATTCCTTTTGATGGATATGAAACAAGAACAGAGACAGTTAGTCCTTCTTTTATTCAGATACAAGGATAGGAAAATAGCTTATTTTTTCCTATTAGAAGCTTTACCTCAAATTATTACACCTTGAGGGAAGGCAGGGGTGGTGTGGAACACGGAGATTCTCCATCATTCATGATGGAAACTATGGGCAAGACCATAAAAGAACCCAGAGGGGTCACAGAGCAGAGAGAATGACAGTTAATGGATGATTGAGCCAAGATGAAAGAATATGCAAAGGCTCCCTTTTACGTTTGAAGACTATAATTCCAGAGATATGGACAAACAGCACATTACTCCCATCTTTGGATTTCCTGACTTGGGCTCTATAAATATTATGTGCTGTTTTTCTAAAATTATTTGTCAAGTAGTAGAAATGGGAGTAAGGAAGCTTGCTAACATCATGGCGGAGGAACTGGCATTGTTAGCAAAACATACAGAGTATAATTTGGGAGCCAACAGAGTAAAAATCCCATATTTATGGAAAAAAAATCCCATATTTTCTAACAAAGGTGAGGACTTCTATGCGCAAGTTAAGGTTTTATTTTAAATCAAAATATTTCCCCGAACAGAAAGCATGTGGTTCATGGACAAGGTCTTTGAGGAGTGGTGGGTAAACAAGAATTAAGATTTTCCCTGGCAAAAAGAAGAGTGTGCCAAGCTTTGGCACTCAAATTGCGGCTATCTGAACAGCAGAGATAAGTCGTTATCTCTGTCAACATCATCAATTTACTCCATCATAGAGACCCATCTGCAAGAAGTAGAGTGCAGAAAGATGCCTTTAGGGTGGTGTGCGTTATCTCTTCATAGAACAGGGCAATCTGTCTGAGCAAAACTTGTGTACACCAAATACCCAGGGCCTCGAGTGCCTGATGGAGACACAGATCATATACTGCTTGCTCTGTGGGGGAACTTCCTTGGAAAGACTCTGAGACCGACTCTGGGTACTGAAGTTCCCACGTCCTGTGTGGATATCAAGTTAAGACTCAATGTTGTTTTGGGACAGGGGTATGTATTTTTCTTTTATTCTTACTTAGGTGGCTATTCCTCTGGCCTATGAGAGGTATGTCCATTCCATGCCGGTCCCTAAGACTCATGAGAATTGTTCCAGGGGATGAAACCATGGAACAGGAGTAGAATAATCTTATAAAAACTACTTTTTGTAAAACTAGTTATTTGAGAAGGACATAAATGTCTAAAGGGATTTTTTTTTCCATTAAAAAAAATGCTTGACTCTCTGGTAGCAAATTAAATCTTACAGTTGTAAAGAAGCATTCCAGATTGTGCTTTGAGATTATCTCGGCCATGTAATCATTTTCAAAAAACAGAAAACAAGTAGCCTGAAAATCATATGCTATCCAGAATTTGCAACACAGAGTTCTTTCCTAGTGGTAGGGACCACTAGTGTGCGGCTTTATTCAATTTTATATAATGAATGATTACTTTGTCCTTTTTTTGTCAGTGAAAGGATTTGATCCAAAAGGAGGAGGTTCTTGATCTGGAAATATATTCTCTGTATAATCATTACTTTTTTGAGAAAAAAATACAGGACTGAGTGGACTCTGAGAGTCCTGCTTTGTAAATCAGGAATCAAGGAAAACATATTTTTTAGGGTGTTGACTTTATTATCAGAAAGAGACAGTCAAAAAGAAAGAAAGAAAGAAGAAGAAAGAAAGAAAGAAAGAAAGAAAGAAAGAGACAGTCACAGTTTGCTCAGAGAAACATATTTTTGCTTCAGATATGATTAATAATATGGAACAGAACTAAAGTTTTTTTTAAAAAGTAAATTAAAGAGTAAGGACAGTAGCATACTAATTATAATGCTATCAAGATGTAAAAAAAAATACACATTTGTTTCCATACCTATGTATGGGTTGATAATAATCTCTGTTGGTAATAAAAACAGATTTTGCATATGAGAATTCAGTATTCAGAAACTCATTGAAACAAGGGTAGAAATAAAGTCAGAATATCAAGTCGGAATTCTATATAAAAGATCATTGGCCTACATTAAACACCAAAGTTTCTATTCCCACTTGACTCCTCATGCAAATTCAACATCTAAATACCAGCTTTCAAATGTGTATGACTTTTCCCCACCCATTTTCCATTTGAAAATAATTACAGTCGACCCATGAACAACACAGGGGTTCTGGGCACCCTCTCTCCCCACAGTAGAAAATCTGGTATAACTTTAGACTCCCCCAAAACTTAAGTATTAATGGCCCAGTGTTGACTGGAAGCCTTACCGATAACTCATGCATCTGTTACATGTATTATGTACTATATTCTTACAATTAACTGAAGAAAAGAAAATGTTACTAAGAAAATCATAATGAGGGGCCCCTGGGTGGCTCAGTAGTTGAGCATCTGCCTTTGGCTCAGGACGTGATTCTGGAGTCCCGGGATCGAGTCCTGCATCGGGCTCCCTGCATGGAGCCTGCTTCTCCCTCTGCCTGGGTCTCTGCCTCTCTCTCTCATGAATAAATAAATAAAATCTTTAAAAAATAATCGTAATGAAGAGAAAATACATTTTCAGTACTGTACTATAAGAATCCACAAATAAGTGGACCTGTAAGGTTTGAAAATGTGTTGCTCAAGGGTCAACTGTATTTTCTTTCTTTCTCTTTCTTTCTTTCTTTCTTTCTTTCTTTCTTTCTTTCTTTTTCTTTCTCTTTCTTCTTTCTTTTCTTTCTTTCTTTCTTTTTCTTTTCTTCTTTCTTTCTTTCTTTCTTTTCTTTCCTTTCTTTCTTCTTCTTCTTTTTCTTTCTTTCTTTCTTTCTTTCTTTCTTTCTTTCTTTTTCTTTCTTTCTTTCTTTTTCTTTCTTTCTTTCTTCTTTCTTTTCTTTCTTTTCTTTTCTTTCTTTCTTTCTTCTTCTTCTTCTTTTCTTTCTTTCTTTCTTTCTTTCTTTCTTTCTCTTTCTTTCTTTCTTTCTTTCTTTTTCTTTCTTTTTCTCTTTCTTTCTTTCTTTCTTTCTTTCTTTTTCTTTCTTTCTCTTTCTTTCTTTTCTTTCTTTCTTTCTTTCTTTCTTTCTTTCTTTCTTTCTTCTTTCTTTCTTTCTTTTTTTTCTTTTTTTCAATCTCCTAAGAATAAAAGGCATTCATTTCTATTAAAGGATCACCAGATTTTATGGAACTTAATAAAGGTAGTAGAAGAAATATTTGTTTTATTGCTATTGTTTTATTATATTTACCTGATAAATTCGAACGTACCTGTACACCACATAGCTAGAATTTTTTTACAGTGAATTCTAGAGGAAAAGTGGAATTGTAGCTCCATGGACTATACCAAGTTTCCTATGATTTCACTTCAAAGAGGAATGTATGCAAGACAGAGTATCCATTGCCATCATAATGAAGACAGAAAAGGTGATACTATTTCTTGTTTATACTCAGGATGGTTCATGTGTTCAAATAAAGAGAGAAGATTTCTTGTGGTCAGAGAAGGGAAGCATTTCTAATATGTGAGTATTTTGCTTGACGTTTCTGTAAGCAGATCATATGTAGAAAACAAGGGTTTGGGCTCGGGCAGATGTGGTTCCCAGCCACTGACCCAGCTTCGCCCGTGCGGACATATGGTCCCTTCCAGGCTTTCTGTGAGTCGTGTGTCGTCTGTGTGGCGAGTCAGTTGGAGGCACCAGGAGGAAGCAGCTCTGAGTCTAGGAGCACACATGTTACACGGTGGCTTGTTGGGTCAAGTGCTGTTAGTTCTTAAACTTCAGAAGGAGCCTGAACCCAGAGACAAAACAAAAATAACTTGCCAGATGCTACCTAGGAACAGAGGTGTAAAGAAATAAAGTAATAAATACTGTCTTTCCATGGGACAGGAATACCAGGACCAGTGGGCAATATTTATTTTTAGCTTCATGGTCAAGAGGTCAACATCGTTTCAAGACAATAGGATCCATAAGGCACATGCTCTCGGGCTACCATCCTCAGTTTCCTATAATGTAAGTTTATGTTACTTAGATAGCCTTTCTGGAACTCAGCATAATAGTGACTATGTCATTCTGAACTGCCCGAGGTACACTGTTAAATACTTAATAAATGTCAGATTTCCTACCCTTAAGAACTGAAACAATTGCATGGCCCAATTTCTTACACTTAGCACAGCACCTACTTTTACTTTAAAATATTTATGAACACTAACTATTGCATGGAATCAGAGACTAATCCCTTTACCTGATCTTTCTGACCAACATATGCTTCACATGTGTCATGACTCAACGCCACAGTGAGGGGAGCAACAGGTTGTGAAGAGTGACGACATCAAGGGACACAACCATGGACCTTCAGCAGAGAGATCCAGCCATCCACCAGGGCCAAACTGGGCCAGGGCCTCTGCCTCAGGAGGCACAGAGAAACCTGCAGAATTTCCTAAAGGGGCAGCCAGTTATTATTGGGGTAAGTACAATGAAGGTCATCTAAGGATTTTGAGGTGGCTCATATTCCCCTGAATTTGCTCTGGGTCAAAGCTACATGATTACCTGAGACAAAAGTTTGGGGTGGTCACAATAATTACCATATCAAGAAGAAAATAGGACTTTAAAATGAGAAAACACATATTCCATTTAGCCAAATCACCAAACTATTTTATATTTGGGAACACTGAATGGAAATTTAAGTGCTGATTTTGGAATTCCCCCAAGTTAAAGGGCTCTTGAGCCATTTACACCTCCACATGTGGGGCACGTAATTCTAAGAGGAAAGCTGATTCCTCCTAACTCAGAGGCACTTTCTCATTTTCTAGGTGAGCCAAATCATGATTGGCCTAATGAATATTTGCCTGTGGATTATGGTAAAAGTCTTCCTTTCATTCCATAAACTACATCTATTCCTAGAGGATACTGTATATACCTTCATTTTCCTTTTGGGACCAACTTTTGTAAGTAAATTGGAACAACTTATCTCTGTATCACTTAGAATATATGTAAAATCCTTAATAGTTATATGTAAGCACAAAATTGGAGGAAAAGTATTGAGAAATATTTGGTGTTAGGAAAAAAGACTACAGAATGAGGTATTCAAAGACTAACTCCTTGAACTTTATCTTTGTACAGTTAATCACATCCGGAACTGTGTCTATTGTGTCTGGGATGAAGACAACAAAACAGATGGTGTGTTTATCTACAGTTTCAGAAAATCAAAAGAGGCATAGCATAGATTGACCTTCATTTTCGAAATAATCAGACTGTCTTTGATTCTCGGAGTTTTTTTTTGCCTTGAGTTGTGATCTCAGGATGATTCTTTCCCTGTTCCCTATAGGTCACATAGTAGATAGCAACCCTGTGCATAATTTTTACAAATTCCAATTTTACTTACACTTTAAGTAAAATGTTCACATGTGTACAATCAAGTTGCCAGGTTGAAGAGTGTAAGAACAGGGACTCAGTTTCTGATTCTTTTTCAGATCTATGGCAACATTGGAACAAACACTGTGGCCGCCGTATTGACCGGAGTGTCCCTAATAATCGTTGCATTCAGAATAGCCATATCCCTTTACTTCCTACCAAGCACATCAATTCGTTATTTCATGATTGTAAGTATTTATAGATCTGGTTAAAAAAAAACTCCTGATATTTATCCACATGTATAAAATTTCTTATAGAAATCTTTCTCATCACAGGTGGGCAATAGGGCACCACTTAAAACTGACAAATCATTTGCAGAAAGGTCAGGGCCTTGACTCCAAGTGAATATCTACAAAATATAAATTATTGATGATGTCAGGACTTATGTACATCAGGTGAAGCTAAATAAGATTCTTATTTTAGGTAAGATCAGAATGGGTGCCAATGAATTCGCTCAATGATTGTGATTGTCTTCACTGAGGTAAAGACAAGTCTAGGGGCAACCCCGGTGGCACAGCGGTTTGGCGCCGCCTGCAGCCTGGGGTGTGATCCTGGAGACCCTGGATTGAGTCCCACATCGGGCTCCCTGTATGGAGCCTGCTTCTCCCTCTTCCTGTGTCTCTACCTCTCTCTGTGTGTCTATGAATAAATAAATAAAATCTTTAAAAAAAAAGACAAGTCTAGATGTTTAGTCCATTCAGCACAGTGATAGACAAAGTCCAGGATCCTTTCTAGAAAGTATATTTAACAAAACTGACATGGATCTACTGATCATATGGTGAAAATTACTATGAGCTAGAAAGGAATTCTAAAACATTCTAATTTTTAAACACCTCAATAAAGTAAGGTTTGCAAATGAGCAGCTTTTTATCAGTTGGTTATGTTGAGAAAAAAATGGATAACAGGATCTTACTTCACTTGTGTGAAAATTACAAATGAATGAAATTACAAATTTGGGAGTCTGTAAATTGGAGTAATTATGTGTACCTTTGCCCAGATTTTATCTGAAGGTGAAGCCAGAGTGTAGTATCTTACTACCGCTGACAACTTGTCAATGAGTTAGGAAGGACAACATTCAGGGTCCATGACAGAAGCTCCCTTGCTCAGTTCTTCAATCTTTCCTCTCCCTGCATGATTTTAATTTGCAGGGGATTATGAGTATGAAGCTTATCCTCATCATCCTCGGACTCATCCTCTCAGTGTTGCTTTCTGCGTTTGGATGCAGCGCGGTCTGCTGTGGTACCACCTCGGTGAGTGTCCGTGATCTAGAGGACTTACAATGTGTTCTGAGATATTTTCTGCCACTTTTCCATTTACCTCTTTAAGTTGTCCTAAAACAGTTCAAAGCATATGAAGCATCTAAGACCCTCTTTCACTTTAGGAGCCCCTCACATTCCATTTTGCCCCTGGCAGCCACATGAGCAGGATCAGACGTGGCACTAGCAGAAGATTGCTTGGATGGATAGAGATGTTTATATCAGAAAGAGAAGAGTGGCCCCAAGGGAACTAGGGCCATGGGCAAGTGAAATGTCATATCACGTCATGAAATATCATCTCCTGTGTGTTCTTCCTCCACAGGTGGTTGTCGACTTATCCTCCAATGAGTGTGAACTTCCCATATCTGCTCTTTATCATAATTATGATGATGTGGCTTTCCAACCCACTTAGTTGTTTGATATATTAACTTCTGAGCTATCCCTGGAATTACTTAAATTGCATTTTTGGGAGTAAATTAGTAATCAAGAAGTAAATAGTCTTCAGTGTTCTCAGGGGGGGAGAAAAAGGCTACAGATTTGCTGATGTTGACGCTGCTATGGTCTCCTACTCTATTCCCAATCATGATTACATTTGGACATGATAAGTGAAGCTTCTTTTCTTACCATATTCACTGGCTATGACTTCCAGTAGATGTTGAACAGGAGTGGGGAGGGCAGATACACTAGTATTGGGAGACAGAGGAGTACATTCAGTAGGTTACTATGGGGTATGCTATAACTGTAGGTTTTTGTATATGGTTTTTTTTCAAATAATGGGAATTCCCACCTACTACTAGTTTTCTGAGAGTATTTTTCTTTATCATGAATAAATAAGTTTTGTCAAATGCATTTTCTGTATATTGAGAAGACCATGTGTTTTGTATTTATTTTGTCAACATGATGAATTGTATACATTGATTTAAAAAAAAATCAGTTTACCTTCTTGAAATAAATCCCATTGGTTGTGATGTATTATCTTTTGGTACATTTTTGGATTTGATTTGATAACACTTTGTTGAAGATTTTTGCTTCTATATTAAAAGTTATTGCTTCATAGTTCTTATGATATCTTTGTCTTGTTTTTATATTGCAGTAATGCTGACCTCATAAAGTACAACAGATTATGTTAAATTATTTTTTCCTTAAATATTTGGTGGAATTAGTCAGTGATATGGCTAACCAGTTGGAGTTGGTTTTGCTGTTGCTGTTGTAATGGTTTTGTCTATATATTCAGTTTTTTAAATAGATATTAAACTATTGAGATCATCTATTCTTCAGTCAGTGTTTATAATTTGTGTCTTTCAAATAAAGATTCTATTTCCTTCAAGACGTTAATTTATTTCATAAACTTGGTCACAGTATTTATTATCCTTTAAATGTCTCTGAATTCTGCACTGGTATCTCTTCTTTTATTCCTCACATTGATAATTTTTGTCTTCTCGTTTTCCCTTGGTCAATCTGGACAAAGTTTAATCCATTTTATTGATTTTTATTGTAATGTCATCTTAGCATAGTTATATATTAATACTTTGCTTGGTATATTTGAGCTTGATCATTGAGATAGAGTCCTGAAATTTAAATATTATTGGAAATATATTTATTTTTCTGGGTTTTTAATGTTTATTTTACTTTAGTGAAGGTGTAGTTCATAAGGTGCTAAAGCAAAGACCAAGAAAAGTTGGTTGAAAATATGAATTTCCTAGAAATTGCTCCAAAGGAAAGAATTTTATTTAGTAAGCTAAAAAAATACATTCTTTTTTAGATTAATAGAAAGAAATGGAAAGACAATGTGCAGAAATAAAACTATCAATTGGTATTGCGGATTATGGTAATAAGGCTTCTCATTTTGTGCAACAAAATATGATATGTATCAACTTTCTCTAAACACATGAGAAGAACTGCTTATCTGGAATTCTAGGTGTGGAAATACAGCAAATGAGGAAACACAGAGATCAGAGCATAGATTTTCCTCCCCCATATGTTGTCACAGTCCTTGATAGATACAGAAGAGACTTAAGCTTAAGAAGACTACAGGCTCCCACATCTTGTGGTGGAACATATCTAGGTAGGTAACCTTTTTTTCCTTCATTATCCTGAGCACCAGAAAGTACTTTTGTCTATGTTCTGAGAGGCACAGGTGTGAAACCTGACAGACTGAGGCTGGACTGAATGTGGGCTCAAGGCAGAGACCGTTCTTCCTTTTTTTCCATTGGTAGATACTCACTGCCCAATATTTCAGGAATTTTTTTAAGGTAATGAGAAAGTTCCAGTGACTTAGATACATTTGATCTTGTCTTCATTCCAGCTTTCTGATTTTCTGATTATGCAAGCACACCTTACTCATCAGTGGGTAGAGAGTAAGGCTTAGCATTAACAAGGAAGTTTGTCTCCAGCCCTATTTTCTAGCGGACGCAATTTAAGATACAGGGGAATAATTTGGTTAGAACTGTGACAGAAATTTTTTGGTTACAATCTGCAAGTGCAATTCAGCACTTCAAGACTGGATATGGTAAGACAGCTAGGTTCACAGTGGCATTCTTAGTGAGAATCATGAGAGTTTTATAACTAAGCTGGTAGAGGTATAACGAAGAGGATTTGGTGGGTTTGAAGCTATATTAACTTAAAAGGTTAATAGGGCTTTGACGTCAATATTTAAGGTGAGGACAATGTGGTAAACAAGGCGAATTTTTGTACTGTGGAGTAGCCAAGAAATATTGCAATGTCATTCTCTAAATAGACAACAGAGATGGAAGAGCAGCATTTGTTAGAAAGATGATAACTGTAAATGTGAAAATCTTACCAAAATATTGAACAGTTGGATGGTGGCTTCAAGGAGCAGTCAAAGGCTGAATTCCAAGTGTAAGATTGATAGAATATTACAGTATTTAATAACATATATCTGTAACAAAAATCATTAAAGCGAGTTTAGTGAATCAAAATGTGTCCAGTAAATATTATAGTCAATATTTTAAACCTAGAAAATAAATATATTTATTGAGTGAACGAATGAGTAAATAATGACATTTGCAATGAGGAATAATGGGAGATACTTTTTGGAGTCAACAATTTATTCCCCCCCCCAACAAAGTTATACTGAAAGCTATGGCTCCCTCAAAAACTCAAACCTGTTACATGGGAGCTTCAGGAGGCTGAATAGGGGATGTGTTATTCTGAGCCAGGCTTGATCTAAAGAGAAGATTTTTACTTATCAGACCTATGGCTCTTTGGTCCCACATCTATAAATATGTCTGTGAACTTGGGCAAGTTTTTTTTTTTTTTGGTTTGTTTGTTTGTTTTTTACCATCTTTGGATGTAGGAGTCACATGTTAAAAAGATATAATAACTGATTGAATAGATACTTTTTTAATGAAATATTGACAAGACTCATCCTCTTAAGAAATAGAAAAAAAAAAGTTCTTGTTAGCACTTCCAGCGTTCTCATATAAGATAAATTCCTTGTTTCGACTCCTTAATTGAAAGCAACTAGTGGAAATAGAAAAATTGAATACTTAGGATTAATCTTAAATGTCCCATAAGAGTCCATGTCATGATATCTTAATCTTTTCATTGGGGCTGCAAAGAAATTTACACACACACATTATTGGGACCAGTGTACATTGCTATCTCCCCCTCCCCAACTTTTTTTTAAAAGAAATTTGGCATGGACCGCAAAAGTCAGAAACTACGTTTCCACTTTGATCCAGGAATTTTGTACAAAAGCAGTTATATTAAGGGTCTAATTCCATATAATTAGCATAATGGGAGGAGGAAACATAAATTGTACAAAGTGTAAGCAGAACTAAATTAAAACATACTAGGGAGAGTGATAGAATTCATAGATACCAATGCAATAAGGGAGAGTCTGCCCCTATCTCTCAAACTTAACTTAATGTTAGCACATAGTCATAAAGTTGATATGGTAGAATATTATATAGAAATAAAAAGCTAATATTTGGGGAGAAAAGGTTCACAATGAGCTTGTTTTCAAGGATGGCCATTCTGGGATTTGCTCTTCTATGGAAATCCATCACTGTTTTTGACAAGTACCAAAGCATAGCCTAACTTCTTGAGAAGATAACTGAGAATTTATGCTACATTTATCACATCTCTGATGATACTGAGAAAATCGGTTGCATCATTTCTGGTGTCACATCTATGAGGCATAAACATAATTATATTTTATGTTGACAAACCTGGAGCTTCAACTAAATTCTTTGTCACACAGTAATTTTCTAAAAAATATTTTATTTATTTATTCATGAGAGCCAGAGAGAGAGAGAGAGAGAGAGAGAGAGAGAGAGAGAGGCACAGGCACAGGCAGAGGGAGAAGCAGGCTCCATGCAGGGAGCCCGATGTGGGACTCGATCCCAGGACTCCAGGATCATGCCCTGAGCTGAAGGCAGGCGCTTAAACCTCTGAGCCACCCAAGGATCCCTTGTCACACAATAATTAAAGGTATGGTGGATTTTATCTAGTGTATCCCCAGGTCTCTATTTCCTTAGCATAATTATGGATACTACTCCTATTCTCTTTCATTCTCAAAACTATCTTGGATTGGATGATAAATTACCTATACATTTAATTAAATTAAAGAGAAATGTCTTTAATTCAGATCCGTTTGCCTCTAAATCCCAGGTTATTTTCACTCCACCAAGGGTAAGGCTAAATAGATATATCACAATTCCCATGGTGGGTACTTTTGTACAAGTCTGTGACCACATGCAACTTAAAAAACAAAACAAAACAAAAACCACAGACTTGAGATTTACAAATTTCCTTAACTTGGGAGGATATCTTACAGTTATGTAGGCTTTGATATTTCTCAACCTCTGTCATCTCTCTCCTTAATTTACACTGTTGTTTATCGCATCAGTGGTATCAGAGTTAGCAGCACAGACACATGAACATCACATGGCCAGTGGCTTCTCTTCATACATGATAAAGACCTCAGATAAAGGAAACCCAGTATCTACTTCCATTGCGATAAAATGAACAGTATTTGGCATATGACAGTACATATCTGATGCTATTATCAGATGACAGATCTATTACAGAATGAGAAAAACTTTGAATTCTGATGGGATGACTGTGGACATTTCTTCAAACCAAAACCAGAGTACCCCATTGGGAAAGACAGAAACATCTGGTACCCTGAGACATCCCTTAGACAAGCTGCAGAAATTCCTGAAGGGAAACCTAAAAGCACTGGGGGTAAGTAAACCACTAATAAAGAATTTTGAATCAGGAGAAGCAGGAGGATATATTCAGGATGAAGGATTATTCTGGCTAATGAAATGGTTGGCATAGAGGCACCAGGTTATGACCTGTGTCATCCATTCTGTGTCAACCGTTCTGTGAAGTGGAAGTACAACACTTTGATTAAAAGCAAGGGACTAGAGTTTCCTTAAAAAGCTGAAAATAGAGCTACCTTACAACCCAGCAATTGCATTATGAGGTATTTACCCCAAAGGATACAAACATAGTGATCCCAAGGGGAATCTGCATCCTAATGTTTATGGCAGTCCACAACAGCCAAGCTGTGGAAAGAGTCCAGAGGACGTCCACCAACAGATGAATGGACACAGAAGATGCAGCATAGTGAGGCAGCGGAATAACACTCGGCCACTAAAAATGAAATTTTACCATTTCAACGATGTGGATGGAACTGGAGGGTGTGATGCTGAGTGAAATAAGTCCATCAGAGACAGACAATTATCATACGGTGTCACTCATGTGGAATTTAAGAAACAAAACAGAGGATCATAGGGAGAGGGAGGGAAAAATAAAACAAAACAAAATCAGAGAAGGAAACAAACTATAAGAGACTCTTAACTCTAGGAAACAAGTTGAGGGTCACTGGAGGGGAGGTGGGGAATGGGGTAAATGGGTGATGGGCATGAAGGAGGGCACCTGATGGGAGAAGCCCTGGGTGTTATATAAGACTGATGAGTCACTGAGCTCTACCTCTGAAACTAATAATACCCTATATGTTAATTGACTGAATTTACATTTAAAAATAATAAACATTAACAAAGAAAGAAAGAAAAAAAGCAAGGGAGTGTGTTTATATGGGCATGGGGGGGGCGTACATTAAGAGGAGACCGTAGAAGTCCTAAGCTCTTGGATGAGCCTCATACTGATTATATCTTATTGAAGCAAGGTTTACCCACATGGGCTGGCCACTGGGGAAAAAAAAAAGGCAGATTCTCCGGGAACTGATTCTTCTTAGCAGATCTTTTAATAATAGTCAAGGGGGTCAACCCTATGAGTGACCACGATATTTGGACCAAGTGATTCTCTCTCTTGAAAAAGGTTCACCATTGTCTTTAAAACATGGATTTTTTGATTTAATTTGGGTGGTTGGTAATTTGGCTTGTTTTGTCTCTTATCCAGGTGGCTCAGATTATGATTGGTGTGAAATGCATCTTTTATGGGATAACTGGATTTCTTCTTCTTGATTCTGAAATGTACAGAATCATTTTCTTCTCGATTTACACAGGCTTCCCTATATGGGGGGCATTGTCTGTGAGTATCCCACATCTCCAATTATAATCATTTAATCACTCATTCATCAACTCAACACAGAACTTGTATGGCATCCTGCCAATTCTCGAGTGCTTGCAATGATACTAGGTTAAGATCTGATTTCCAACCTGAACTTGAATATATATTCTACTATAATGAAGCCCTTAAGTTCTGTTCATTACTGTATAGCATGAACCTATTCGGTATAATCTTGCAATTTTGCCTGAGGAGAATATCCTGGGTTTGACACATAGAAGAAGAGTCTCTGAAATGTATTATTAATACGTGGATCAGAGAAGATGCTGGGGATAGGGAGATGTTCCTCTTTTTTTAGTCATCACCCTTCTTGGCCAAACACACTGAGAAAAATGCCATGTAATTTGAGCTCGCGTTTTCTCTTTTCTGCATCCCAAAGTGTATCTTTGAGTTATATCTACTCTCTTTATTTCATTTTCTCCACATTGAATAAATTGTTTTCCCCTGTGATTTTTACATCCACTTCTTTTATTTAGCTAAAGGAATTTTACTATTCATAAGAATAAAAGGATGACCATGGTACCTTAATCGTGTGGTGCACACACTTTAAGGATCTGCTTTCCTCCAAGTTCTGAAGGGAGGCCCAGGAAATAGGGGAGAGAAAGGGAGGGGGGAGATGCATCTGGCAACGAGGAGGAAGGGTGAGTTGAAAGTAGCTGCTACTCTGCAGACATCTTTCTTATTTTATAAACAGTTTATCATCTCTGGATCTCTGACTGTTGTGTCTGCCAAGAAGCAAACAAAATCGCTGGTAAGCTAATAAGTTTTCCATTTGTCGTTCAGAAAGAAAATGAGAACTTATAACACTCTGACTTCCCGTGTGAAGCCCAGTCCCCCAGGGGATTCATTATTTTGTAATACATTTCATCCTGTAACTGTCGCGTTGGCCCAATGACTCAAGTGATCATCCTAGTGGATCTCCCTGGATTTTAGAAATTGTGATCCTCATATCTTGTCACCATAAGAAGAATGAATAAAGATTTACGTAGCTACTAAACCTCTCTATGGTATGAGGTTGGGCGATGTGAATAAAAAGAAAACCATGTCTTAGGGTTGAGCAAGGCAAACTTTTATTTTTGATGGAGGGAAGAGCTATACAGAGTCAAAAACTACAGAGACTAAGAGGTCTATAATGCTTTATATCCTATCCATGGTATGTGCTTAAGAAAGATCAGGGATCCCTGGGGGGCTCAGCAGTTTAGTGCCTGCCTTTGGCCCAGGGCGCCATCCTGGAGATCTTGGATCGGGGCCCCTGCAGGAAGCTTCCTTCTCCCTCTGCCTACGTCTCTACCTCTCTCTCTCTCTCTCTCTGTGTGTGTGTCTCTCATGAATAAATAAATAAAATCTTTTTTTTAATAAATACAATTTTTTTATTAAAAAAAAATCCATCCTCTGCAAATTTTCTTCTCCCAAATGTGATTTGCCATTGAGCTGAATTGACCATATAGGAATGATGAAAGCCTGTAGATCCCATGGCTAAGTTAAGTCAGAATTCTCCCCTCAGCTTATAGGGTCTAGAAGCCCCTGGCCCTTAACTTATAAGCTCATTATTTACTTTTTTTTCAGCTGAGAGGGAATCTAGGTGCCAACACTCTCAGCACCTTCATCTCGATTGTTGGGATCTGTATTTTGTTGTACAATTTAACAAAAAATATCCACCATGATTGCAAGAAGGAAACTCTCTGTTTGGGCATCAAATCAATTGCAACTGTAAGTATTATCCTCCTGAATTGTGGGCAGACTAAATGCTTATCTGAGCATGATGCAGATGAGACATGATCATTGGTATATTTGAGGAACAAAATTCTTGCTTCCAAATGCCTCTCTACAGGTGTCACATTTAGGGAAAAAACAAAACAAAACAAAAACTATTTCTTTACAATGGCAAAGATCCCCAAGTTCTGGGATCTAAATTTTGTTTTTCAAGAAAAAGCGGTGAAGTAGAATGATATTAAAATTTGAGTCAAAGATTGGGGTAGTCTTTACGTTATTCTTTATTATTCTTTAATTATATTCTATCATAATTCATCACTGCTAGGAATTAAAAATAAGTATTTCACAAAGCTACATGGAGAATGAATATTTATTCTGACTTGCCACCACCTGAGAGTGGACTCTTTTTTGCAATAAAGCCTTGTGAAAGTAATGGAGATGGATGGTCTGAGGCAGAGGAGAAAGAAACCGGTGGGAAACCAGTAAAAGAGGCCAAGACCACTGGAGTGTTGGAAGACACATCTCACCTATTAGAGCAAGGACAAAAAAATTTTGCAACCGTCATTTGATTTTTACCTTAAAGTGTATTCCAAATTTGGGAAACTTTCTGGTTTTAACTAGAATTGAGTTCACTGGAAAACTAAAAGAATTTAGTATCTCACCGGGGAGATCTGAACCCCTGCCATTTCTGCTTTGTATATTGAGAAGAGCCAACTTTGTAAGCATTGGCAACATTACCAATATCTATGGCAAACTAATAATAACTTCAATAATAGTATAACTAATAATCCACCACTACCACCACCAATAATAATAATAATAAGTGGAATAATCATTGTGAATTCTGAAATCTCATCAAGTTTTACTTCCTATCTTATATTAGTATATTCAAGAATATTGACTATGCTAACTCTTGTTTCCTACAGCAGCACATATACATCTGGGTTCAGATCCAACCTCATGCCACCATTTTGTATAATGTAATGTGTCCCCTTTTGAGGGCCTGATGTGAGGCTCTGAAATAAAACTTTCCAAACTGTCATCAGGGTGGAAGGTAATGCATGACATTTTATTTTCTTTGACAGGGACTTGTGATTGTCCTAATGATCCTAACTTGTCTGCAAATTTTAATTTCACTTCCTCTCTCCATGCTCAGTTATAATGTGGATGACGAGAATATTCACTGGGTAAGTGCAATTCTTGGAAGAATGAGGATAATTTCAACTATTTCATGAAGTGGTCTGTCAGTAACTCTTTCTACCTTGGGTAAAACAAACAAAAACATAAGCTGTAACTGATTCTGTGGATAACCTGGGAGCTCCTAGTTGTGTGTTGAGCACACTTGGAATGCACAGTGTATAATTCTTTAATCCATACAGAAACTCTCACCCATGGGTATATATCCACGAATTCAAACATCCATCTGTGCATGCATGCGTCCATGCATCCATGCATCCATCCATCCATCCATTAACTTACTAGAGAAGTATACTCTTTAGTGTGATGAATATACAAAGTATGTATCATCCAAAAAATAATAAAATCAAGGTATAATTAATTTAAAAACCTGTAACAGATTAAATATATTATTGCAGGTCCACACAGTTGAAAATACAGAAGACTAAGAAACACAAATAGAGTTGGAATTTTGTATTTTATTATCACATGTAACAAATATAGGTAATACAGAAGTAGTAGCATACTTTCTCAACCTCATTACTTGGTTCTTTTTCTGTGTTGAAATTATTGCCACAGCTGTGTGTCAGGGTTAATTCAAACAGAAAATGGAAAGATTTATGGCATCAAAACTCCCCTCATTTCAAGTATATAACATTTATCATGAGCATTGAATTCCCTGATCCTAAGGGAAATAATGCAAGTCTGAATTCCTCAGACAGGCAGTTGGAAAGGAAGACCATGGATGGGAGGGACCCAAGGGCATGGCAAAAGGAATCACCCAGAGGTGGAAATTCTTCCCTTTCACCTTTTATTGTAAGCAAGAAGCTGGGTGAGCTTTACCTTCAATGCTTTGGAAATCTCCTCAGTTTGTTATCAAAGTTGACCATTTACTAGTTGTGCTTCCCACATGACCGTGAGACAACATTCTGTTAGATTTCTGCTACTCCACCGCAAGACCTTCCCTTCAGTTTCTAGTAATGTGTTCCTCACTCCTTTCTGAGCCACACTGACAGCATTCTCAATGTCTTTATTTCCAGTAAACAAAGAATTTGAAGCATTTTAGGCTTTCTCTGTACTTTTTATTTCTCAAAATTTTGTTCTTGAAAATCTTGCTCCTCAAAATTTTCTTCAAACTTGTTTTGTCCCACTGCCCACTTCCACAGCTATTCCCATATCCTAGATACTTATTCACATACCTTAGATATAGTAATAATACTGGATTGTTACCCCATTTCCGGTACCAAAATACATAATAAGTGTTTGTTGTTGCTTGACGAATTGCCACAAGCATACCAACTTAAAACAATACCTACCACCGACTTACCACCTCACAGCTCCGTAGAACAGAAGCCTGGGTGGGCCTGGCTAGAAGCTCCACTCAGAGTCTCACAAGGCTGAAGTCCACGTACTGGAGACATCAGACCCCTGGAAAGTCTCGAATGGTCTGCTAGCTCATTGTTGTTGGCAGGATTCTGTTGCCCGTCACTATGGGACTGAGAAGATTGGCCAGGAGTCACTCACATTCCGTTCCTAGAAGCCACTCTCAGACATTATCAAGGTGTTCCCTCCATTTCAGCAACAGATAACTTGCTCTTTGTCAAATGTTTCTCATGCTTTGAATCTCTCTGACTCCTTCTTCTACTATCCAGAGAATAATCTGCTTTTAAAAGACTCCTGTAATTAGATTAAGGCCATCCAAATAATGTCTTCTTTATCATATGACATAACATAACTATAGTAATGACACCATATTATTCTGCATGCCACAGCTCCTCTCTTCATACTTGTGCAGAACCCAGTGAGAAAAGATACAGAGAAGGGGAAGACGTGTTTATCCTTGTAAGGTCATGGATTTGAGGTGAAATGTATCTCCCCTCTCGCATTACACTGGACCAACACGTGTCACGTGATCTCACTGAACTATAATGTACGCTACAGAAGTCCATCAGGCTCAAATCTAGCTAAAGTAGATAGAATTTCTATTATTAAAGAAAGATGGGTAATGTTCTCAATGTCATTCTTCTCTATAGGCACCACGTATAAACATCTACCTTCCCCCTCATGCCTAGATACACTCAACTCAGAAAGGACAATAATCCAAACCATTTATTGTGCTGGAGTCTTTGTATATTTGTAGCTCTCTTCAACAAGTCCAGGTGTAGCCCATTGCAGTGCTGGCTGAAAGACAAATCACTTGCCCCCACTCTATTCACATCCTTTATGTGAGTGTGGAATGGACCAAAAATAATGATCATCAGCCTGGAGAGAAAAAAGAGAAATGTGAAATCACTGCTCTATAGCAATTGCAATAATTTTTATGCAAGAATTAAAAATTATGAAGATTCCTTTCCCCCCACCCCAAAGACATAAAATACTTAAGTTATAGTGTAGTTCACGTCTCTGGGAGGTATTAACTTATTCATTTTCCTCTCCAGCTCTTTGTACACTAATTTTCACGTCCATCACTACAGTAGACATTGGAGAGGATACTTTTCTTAGGTATTTCTTAGTATTTGCATCCTACTCTCTGATGATATAGGTGGCAGTAGAATTGCTTTATATTTTAAATATTCCCTGGCTATGGTAAGCCAGGTCTTTGCTCTCTATGGCAATATACTTTTACCAAAAACAGGGATGGAAAGGTAGATCTTTTATTCTCAAAATGTGGCTTTCACCTCTAGATCCGTGAAGGAGGTTCCAGCTCCTACTGTCACATCCACATCTCAACCAGCAGAAAGGAAAAAGGGGAATGAAAATACATACCCTTCTTTGTAAGTGTGTAACTCCAAACGGAGACATGCTATTTATTCTCACATTTTTCTGGATAGTAATTAAATATCTGTCCATACTGCAAGAAAGCCTAGAAAACAGTCACAATTTTATCTCCATTTTCCATTTTAAAAACAAGTTAGATTGTTAGGCAAAAAAAGGAAATGTTAGTAAAGGTTCCATAGGTTAAGTATTATTTAAAAATTATAAAGATACAATAGTCATCCTTTATTTAAAAAAAACCCTCACATTTTTTCTCTTATCAAGTAATCATTCATTATAGAGACAAATATCAAATCACAAATACGAAATACAAAAAGACCTCACATTTTATATACATAATCACGCCTAATGTGTTCAGACACTCAAAAACTTAGTTCTATTATCAGCTCATTATTTTCCAGCCCATCAGCAATATACCAAATAAACAAGTTCCCAGCATTAGGTGGACTGGCATTCTTTATACCCAAATGATAAAAGAAGGCAAAAAGCCCTATCATCTCTCCCTATTTCTGTTGTTCAAGAATTATTTTGATGGGTAGGCTTATATTTTCCTTTATCTTCCTCAAGACTAAACACTGATAAGCCAGGTAGCCTGATACCTGGCTAAATATCTGGAAAAAAGTCATCATTGGGAAGTTTTCTTTCTTTACTCATTTACCTTCATGGTGAGCTTGGTGCTAAACCATTCATAGATGACCTGCCTCTGCATGTTTTTTTTGTCTTTGTTTTTGTTTTTGTTTTGTAGCAGAGCAGTTCCTTTGCTCTTTGTTGCAATCTATTATTGAAAGTCAGCCCTTGACACAAGGGTTTGTAAATAAAATGTAAATAAAACTAAAAAACTATTAGCAACAATGTCCACAACAGCCAAACTGTGGAAGGACCTCGACGTCCTTCAACAGATGAATGGATAAAGATTATGTGGTCTGTGTATACAACGGAATATTACTCAGCCATCAGAAAGGATGAACATCCACCATTTACACCAACATGGATGGAACAGGAGGGTATGATGCTGAGCGAAGTAAGTCAATCGGAGAAGGACAATCATCATATGGTCTCACTCATATGGGGGATATAAGAAATAGTGAAAGGGGTGATAAGGGAAAGGAGGGGAACTGAGTGGGAAAAATTAGAGAGGGTGACAGACCATGAAAAACTCCTAACTCTGAGAAACAAAGGGTTGAGGAAGGGGAGGTGGGTGGGTGATGGTATGTCTAGGTGACAGGCACTGAGGAGGGCACGTGATGGGATGAGCATTGGGTGTTATACTATATGTTGGAAAATTAAATTAACATTTTTTTTAAAAAAGGACATTGATTTGGGAAAAAAAAAACTATTAGTCTCAGGTGTACAATATAGTGATTCATCACTTCCATACAACACCCGGTGCTCATCATGAAGAGTGCCCTCCTTAAACCCCATCACCTATTTCACCCATCCCCCCCTCACCTTCCCTCTGGTAACCATCCATCTATTCTCTATCATTAAAAGTCTGTTTTTTGGTTTCTCTCTCTCGCTCCTTTTTTCCTTTGCTTATTTGGTTTGTTCCTTAAATCCTATATATGAGTGAAATCATATGGTATTTCACTTAGCATAATACTTTCTAGGTCCATCCACATTGTTGTGAATGGCAAGATTTCATTATTTTCTATGGCTGAGTAATATTCCACTGCATATATATATTCCATATATACTATGTATATATACACTACATCTTCACCGTTATAAGTTGATGGACACTTGGGATGCTTCCATTTGGCCACAAATGGCTACTATTTGGCCATTGTAAATAATGCTGTTATAAACATTGGGGTGCATGCATCCCTTTGAATTAGTATTTTTGTATCCTTTCATAAACACCTATTAGTGCAACTGCTGAATTGTAAGGTAGTTCTATTTTTAACTTTTTGAGGAACCTCCATACTGTTTTCCAGAGTGTTTTTCTGCCCATTTTTTAATTGGATTATCTGTTTTTGAAGTCTTGGGCTTTATCAGTTCTTTATATATTTTGTATACTAACCCTTTATCAGATATGTCACTTGCAAATATCTTCTACCATTCTGTAGGTTGCCCTTTAGCGTTATTATTTCCTTCATTGTGCAGAAGCTTTGCATTTCAGTGAAGTTCCAATAGTCTATTTTTGTTTTTGTTTCCCTTGCCTCAGGAGATATATCTAGAAAGAAGTTGCTATGACCAATGTCCAAGATGTTGCTGCCTGTGTTCTACTCTAGGAGTTTTATGGTTTCATGTCTCACTCACATTTAGCTCTTTAATCCATTTAAAATTTATTTTTGTGTATGGCGTAAGAAAGTGGTACAGGTTCATTCCTTTGCATTTTGCTGTTGTTTTCCCAACACCATTTGTTGAATCATTGGGTACTTTTAGTCATGATTGAAATTGACCTTATCTTCTACCTTTTTGGAGAGCATCCAGTGGGCTCCTCTGGGCCCAAAGTCCACCCAATTTATCTTTGGAGTAAGATAGCATATATTTGGAGACAAATCATTGAGGACTTGGATTATATTATTCTTAATGGCTTATGTTACATACTTTGAAGATTATTCTTTGGCTTATTTACAGATTTGTGTATTGCTTTGCTGGAAATCACCTTCTGAAGGTCTTTATCAAGACTTGTTGCCTCAAACTATAATCTATCGAGAACTTGAACGCAAAGAAGATACACCTTCATGTTATCCCACAGATACTAACAAACAAATATGAGGCTGCACCTCTGTATTTTGGATCCACAGTGATAGCAAGAAGCTCATACTGTGGCCACTGAGGCAGGAATACACACCTGTGAAGATACATAAACATAGAGTTCAGGGTCACAAAGAGAGCAACTAGGATTTATAACATTGAGATTTTGGTTGTTGCCACTTTTTTTTGTTATGGTTGGATGTCATCACAGACTAGGTTTATGCTCTGTTACAAAACTTAACCTAGAAATATTGGTGGCCTAACACATCAGAAGTTCATTTGCTATCTACTTTACATGTTCTTTATAGGTTGGTTATTCACCTTAGATGCACACTGATATGAGTTCTACCAAATAGAATAATATCTGAAAAAGTTTTTTTTTTATTTTGCCAAGATAGGGAAAGAAAATGTTAGAAGTTGGACCTTTAGCAATTAGTTGTTCTAGAAAAAGCAAGTGTCACTTTTTGCCACAGTCCTTTAAATAGTCATCTTCCCAGCACTGTGTGGGAGACAGGAAATGTAGGCCGACATCAAGTTCAGAAGCTTAGTTTTTTATGAAAACCAGTGAAGTAAACATAGAGTTTCCTGAAGTAATTGTGAAAATTGTTTACATGAAGTCTGGTCCATCATTTTTACACTCTGTGACTTCGGATGTGCATCTTCCCTGACTAAAGATCAGTTTGCTTATCTCTCAAATGGTCTAGCTTGTGCTGACCCATTTCAGATTGGGATATCTATCAAGGAAAATAGTAAATATAGGTTAAAAAAAACCCACCCCAAACTTTTAACTATATGAGATACTACAGATTATTATAATATTTTATTAATATCATGTTAGGTTAATTAGTTATACTGCATCATTCTAAGTACATTAAGGTTTTCTGATGATATTTTATGTAAATAGTCATATATAAAAACTTTTGTTGTTTAATTGACCCACTGACAATTAATCAAAGCATTACCCCATTCCTCTTGAATAATACAACCAAAACTTTTCAAAGTCTAATAAAATTAATACTATGTCCCATGAGATCAAACAATTCCATTCCTGTTCTATGTACTACAATAGCCACTAGACATGTATAGAAAGTTAAATTTAAATTATTTAAATCTTTTAAAATTTAAAGTCTATTTTGTTAGTCTCAGTAACCATATTTCAAGTGTTCAATGGCCACTTGTGGCTGGTCCAAAACATTTGAAGAAAAAGATGGAGAAAACTAAGAGGATAAATAGACAAATACACCATTATATTTGGAGACCTCAACACCTCTTTTACAGCGACTGGTGTATCAACCAGGCAGAGAAGTAGTAAAGGTATAGATGGTATAGATGGCCTGAGCAGCAGTTCAATCAGGTTGATCTAATTGACATTTACAGACTTCTTCATCCAACAACAGTACATTTTTCTCAAATATTCATGGAATATTTACCAGTATTGGTTACTTCATGTGTTGAAACATAACTCAACAAATTTAAAGGAATAGAAATCATACAAAATATGTTCTCAGATAAGAGAATTGTGATAAGTGGAAAATTCAATGTATTTGGAAATTATTAAACAACATACTTCTGAATAGTCCATGGGTCACAGAATAGTTTTTAAAATGTGTAAAAATTGCGGAGCATCTTGTGCCTTTTTTTAGCACTTCTCATGATTTTTTTCAAAACCAGATGTAACATATATAATAGATGGGTATGGATAAAAATTTTTATAGATGTGTATAAACATGGTGCTATGGACTGAGTGTCTGTGCCACCCCACCCCCCCTCCCCCCACCATCCCAAATTCATAGGCTGAAACTCTAATCCCCAATGTGATGGTTTTTGGAGAAGGAGCCTTTGGGAGGGAATGAGGTAACAAGGATGGATCTGGAATGAATACCTCATAAGAAATGATATGAGAAAGTTTGTTTTCTCTCTTTGTTCTCTACTATTTGAGCATACAATCAGAAAATGGCTATCTGGAAGCCAAGAAAAAACCTGACCATGCTGCTACCCTGATCTCAGACATCCAGCCTCCAGAACAATGAGAAATAAATGCTGTTTAAGCTACTCAGTCTATAATATCTTGTTATAGTAGCTCAACCAAGACATGTGAGTTAATAGACATATGCACATTTCTTTGCTCTATTAACTTAGAGAACCGGAAAGAAATGATATACCAATAGCAACAACCATACCTAGAGCCCAGATCTTGATTTCTAATCCCATTCTCCAATAAAAGGAAACAGGGCTGCCTGATGAAATGGCTGATTCCAAAACTGGAGCAGGGGCTCCGTAAGATGAGCCTGAGAATATGGTGGTGCCATAAAACAGGGAAGGGCTCACACACAGTGAGACACAACGATGGGGTTCAAAGGGACACAGGAGCCACTGTGACCGAAATAGAAATAATTTGAGCAATAAAATAAGGTAGCATTTGATTATAACCCAAAGTATATGTAAATATTCATGAATTCATACAAATGAATAATTGAGCGCATAAGTAAGTGGGAGAAAATAGACAAAATCCCAGCGTAGAATATCTAGTAACTTATGTAGCTACTGCACCCTCAACGCAGTAGATTATAACTCCTGACTCCTTGAGTCTGGACTACACGCAATGGCTGTATAGTGACGTTTTTCCCAAGAGTACAGCATAAAAGTCAGGAAAAAGCTAAGAGTGGAAAAAACCGAAAAACTTTACTCAGGGAGGTGATTAAAGTCAACATAAACAGCATAAGTCATGTTGATAATATATGCCTTTGATTGGTTATGATAAGAATGATATTTTACTTCTGCAACCCTCCTTTCCAAACTCAAAACAATAGTCTAATCATGAGAAAGAAAAGTCAGACAAACTCCAGTCGAGGGCTATTTTACAAAATACTTGACCAGGATTCCACAAAACTATCAAGGTCATCAAAACCCGAGTCTTGAGAATCGTCACAGCCAAGAGGAGACTAAGGAAACATGGCAGCCAATGCAATGTGGTGTCTTGGTTGGGATCTTGGAACAGGAAAAGGGTGCTCGCTGCAAACTAAAGAAATCTGAATAATAGTAATAATGTTTTAGTTAATGATAATGTATGAATATTGGTTCATTACACTAATGTAAGATGTCAACTGATTTGGGTTGTATGGGAACACTCATTACTATCTTTTTCAATTTTTTTTTTTTTATAAATCGTATTATTTAAAAATACCATTTATTGGGCAGCCCGGGTGGCTCAGTGGTTTAGCACCGCCTTCGGCCCAGGGTGTGATCCTGGAGACCCAGGATCGAGTCCCACGTCAGGCTCCCTGCATGGAGCCTGCTTCTCCTTCTGCCTGTGTCTCTGCCACTCTCTCTCTCTCAATGTGTCTCTCGTGAGTAAATAAATAAAATCTTTAAAAAAATAAATAAAAATAAAAACACCATTTATTTTTTAATAGATAATATTAAAAGTATTACAATGTGAACAACTACATCAAGATGGTTAAAATGAAAATCACAAATGTCAAGGTGAAAATGTACAATGACTGGAATTCAAGCACTGCTAGAAGGCATGTGCGTGTGATATGCAATTTGGATATGACCTAGCAATTCCAGTGGAACTGTACACATACCTGTACCAAGGTATAGAGGTACAGTTTTCGTGCACAGCACTGTTCATCCCGAATGGAAGTATCTCAAATATTCATCAATACTAAATAGTTTATAGCTTGTTCCATAAGTCTTAAAATAGAATATCTTGCAGCAGCATGAATAAACTACTGCCACTGGCAATCGCATGAGTGAAGTTCACGAGCAGGCTAGAAGAAAGGAGCCATATTCAGGACGCATACTCAGTTATACAGATCACAAGATTCCATTTTATATAATTCAAAGATGCATAAAACTCACATTGGTTGTAAAAGTCAAGACTGCAGTTACCCTGGGGATCTTAGTGAGTGAAAAGGAGCACTCACAGTCTTCAGGAACTTTGATAATGTTACCTCATCGACACAAGTGCTGGTTACATGAGGATGTTCTCTTCCTATTTATCTAAAAATTGGAGGTGCCTGGTTGGCTCAGTTGGTAGTGCGTGTGGCTCTTGATCTCTGGGTCGTAAGTTTGAGCCCCATGTTAAGTGTAGAAATTACTTAAAGATAAAAATCTTAAAAAAAAAAAAAGAAATTGGCCAGCTGTCATAGTGATCTGCTCACTTTCCTGTGTGTGTGGCATAGTTTCTTTAAGAGTTATCAAGAGAAATGATACTGTGCGTCCCAGGCATATGATTGGTTATGGGACGATGTGGGAGGATGGGATTCAAAATCACGATCAGCACCAATAGAGGGAAAAAATGTATTTTATTTGGTTTTGTAATAACTGTTCTTGTGCACAAATGTGAGCACTTCCTGGCAGGCAAGCTATTATTGACTTAGTGACGCACAGCGAATGACTTTTCTAAAAGCAGGAACAATTCTGTTAAAACTCCAGCTCCTCATAAACATGTTCATAAGGGGCCGTTACTGAGGGCACCTTGTCATTGGTTGACTGGATAACCACCACCTGTTGGAGGTTGAGAATCATACATAGAGTTATGCACATACTCTTTCAGCTAGAGGGATTCACATCTATCCTGGGAACACCTTTTCTGTATCCTGGGACCTAAGAGTTCAATATCTGTTCCTTCAGGGCCTTAGACCCTCACTAGATAAAGATCAATATCCAGCAAGATCTATGAGACTCCTGGAAACACCTGCCATAGCTCTATCTCTGCGTTCTGCTGTGTTCTCTAATTTCAGGAAGAAGTCACATCACAGCCATCCTTCCTTCACTCTGCTCCTTTATCTTTCCCATCGGTTCAGAGAGAAGAGACAGTGAAAGAAACAGAAACACAGACTCAGCATCACTCGCCAAAGGTGAACCCTCCCTCAGGTCCTGAGCACTCACCTGCGAGACAAAGCAGGTCACCTTGCACCCAAACACAGAAAGAGAGATGGCGATGCTGACTTCCAGGAGGGAAAGGACCAGTATCACAGTCTCAAATGCCCTCTAAAAAGAAACAGATGCCACAAAGAAAGAGGGAAAAAGGAAAGGAATATAATTAATAGATGGAGCTTCTGCAGGCCCTGGGTTATCTGATTCCAATCTGACTCTTCCTCCACTTTAGAAACAGGTACATTCTTTCTCATAACAAACCAAAAAAGAAAAATCGACAAGAAAATCCTTAAATGACTGAGAGGAGTTCTACTCTGGATCTCTATAAGTGCAGGGAAATTCAGATTAAATCAGATGTGTTTCCTTAGTTTTTTTTTTTTGGCTTAGAAATTCTCTCTGTTGTCTGCTTCAAGTTTTTTTCCTTATAACCACTTCCCTGTATGAGTTTAAGTTTTTTTCTCATCTAAAGATCAGAGAACCTCCAGGCCTAGGAAAGGGACATCACTGTCCTTTCCTTTTACATAGCACACCCCAGAGGTTCTGAGCATCTTGGCTTGGGGCCCTGCCTCTCCTCCCCACCACCACCCCCTGCAAATGACACCGAGCTCACTGAGCCAGCACAGCGGCCTGCTGCCATCTCAACTTGAACCTGGAGACTTTATAAAAAGATCCTTAGGAGCACTGGATGGTATACTATATGTATAACAAATTGAATTTATTTATTTATTTATTTATTTATTTATTTATTTATTTATTTATTTTTTATGAATTGAATTTAGATTTTAAAAAATGTAAAAAAAATTTTTTTCTAATGTAACTGTGTTCAGTGAAGAATGAGAGAAAAAAAGGTAACTATCCTGGTAGGTCCCAGCAGAAAGGGGCTGAAAATTCTCCCCATGAGATCAGAGTCCTGGATCTTCTGGCTTGTCATGATACGCCAGGATCAACTAAGAGACAATCACCTCGGGCAAATATACATTTAGATAATATAAACAGAGTTTCAGAAAATCAAAGCAGCTCGCAAACACTTACAAAAATAAGACACCTTCTTTCCGACTTAAGTTCCACAGTCAGTTCTACTGTTGATATGATTGTCCCTATTCCTCCAACCACAGCACTGAGCGTGTTCATTCCCAGGCTGCCCTTGATCTGGAAGACAATGATTGGTGTCACCTGTTTCACGCTCTTCCTCTCTTTGGAAAACACAAAAACATTCATTTATTTTTTTAATATTGATTTATTCATTTATGATAGACAGAGAGAGAGAGGCAGAGACACAGGCAGAGGGAGAAGCAGGCTCCATGCAGGGAGCCCTACGCAGGACTCGATCCCAGGACTCCAGGATCACACCCTGGGCCAAAGGCAGGCACTAAACCACTGAGCCACCCAGGGATCCCCACATTCACTTATTTTTAAGGGGTTGAAGACACATTCTCAAATAATTCTCCTAAGTCTAAGAAAGAAGGAGGAGCATGGGCTGAAGCATTGGATTCTATGTTCACAAATTAATCCCAGGGACGGAATGTCAGACAATAGGGGTGGAAAAAGTACGTCAAACCTCAGTTTCCTCATGGAAGACTTTGCCACGACCCCGTAGAGGCCAGATGATTCAGAGAATTGGGGATTATTGCTTTTGTCTTGAGCTAGAGCGCACCTGCTGCCTGATTCTGCTTGTGCTTTGGGCCCCGGGAAGTACTTACCAGGTTCAGGGTCCTGTTTCTTCCAGCAGCAATAGACACCGCTCCGGATATGAGGAACTAAAAACGGAGGGAGCCACTCAGCCTGGTGGGCCTGCCCCTGCACTGCCACCCGTACCAGAGATCATCCGAACCCCAATGCAGTTAGTCACATATTTTGCTCTAAGAAGTAAAATTCCAGGTCTTGTCATTGGGTTTTGGAAAGAGAAGGCTGGAAGGAATATTTGCAGACTGCGATCACTGAGGGAGGTAAGGTGTACTCACAAAGAAGGATCCCCATATCGGATATCCTGAGACCATGCTCAAGGGATGACACCAATAACTGAAGTCAGAATAATAGAAACACTGATTTGTAGCAAACAGGCACACTTTCATCAGACCAATCAGAATCTGGGCCACCTGGGAGCGAAGAAGAAGACGCTCAGAGCATGAGGCTTGCAGGTCTCTAGGAAGAAGATTTTGTGGTCTTGACACACAACTGGTTTCGAAAGGGCTCCCAGGATGAAACCCCTAGGAATCCATGGCCTTTCCTCAAGTGCAAGGCTGTTTAGAAAGATCTTAGGGTAACTTTTTTTCCCCCTTTCATTACAGAAATGCATTTTCCTTTCAGATTACAGTACTTCTGACTTTAAAAAAAAATCTCTTTCCTGCCACTGAGAGGTTTATGAAGTCAGCTTAGGACACAGTTAATCATGGCTCAGGCATCACAAAGGAAAACTGTTCTCCTCTCTGGAAACCGCTATCTCCGCAAATACTATGCTTGGAGGCCAAGCTCACTCACCCCCAGGATTTGGGGCTCCCCCTTCAGGAAGGTCTTCAGGTTGTCTGTTTGGTCTTCTTGGATGACGTTTTTCTGTAGAGGATTCAGGCCAAACCCTCCAGGTGTTCCTTCTGGTGTATTAACACAGTCTCTAGCACTATAAATGCAAACATTTTACAGAAAACAGACTCATTCTCCAACCCCTTTCTTCTAGGCATGAAAAGCGTCCTTTGGGGGGAATGGTATCATGAGGCAGTCTGCTGTGATGGTAAGTTACTCTACCGGAGTTATAATTCCAGTCACGCACTGTATAAACCATCTCCATGCTCTGGTTTTTAAAATTATAAAATGGTGGGGGAGGGGTACCTGGGTGGCTCAGTCAATTGAGCATCCAACTCCTGGTTTCAGCTCAGAACATGGTCTCAGGGTCATGAGATGAAGCCCCAAGGTGGGCTCCATGCTTGGTGCAGAATGTGCCTGAGATTCATTCCCTGTCCCTCAGTCTCTCCCCCCAGCTCTCTAGCTCTTTATCTCTCAAATAAATAAATTAATTATTTTAATAAATAAATAAATAAATTATAAAATCATAAAAAGGGGGTTATTGTGGTACCTGCCTCCTTTTGTTTGTCATACGTCTATGATTTCACAGATCTGTATGCATAAAACTTGGAACTGGGTGCCTGGTGCCTCCAAAGTACTTAGTAGATAGTTAGCATCATTTTTAAAAATTGTATTATTATTAAAATTTGATATAATAAATATACACACAGAATGCTTACATTTATATCTTCTAGAAAAAAATGACTGATGGAAAATGAATCATGTAGAATCCTGTAAGAGCCATGTATCGTGGCTGCTGTTCACAAGAGTACTATCCACTCATTCAGTCAGTCAACAAATATTGATTAAATATCTACTATGTGCCAGACCCTATTATAGGTTTCGTTGCTAGGAATATAGCAATGAACCAAACATACGTAATTCTTGTCAAAGGGGAGCCTACAATACAGTAAAAGAGAATACATTTTTAATTTATATCATGAATGTGTAAGTGCACGGGAATAGAAATTACGTAAAATGAGAATCTTCACTTTCCATGTACGGAAAATGTCATTCGGCGTTTCCATGTTTGAACCAAATGAGACCTCACCTTCTCTGGCAAACTGGCCTTCGCTAATGTTGCCCTTTGCTACAAGCATAGTGACGATTTATTAAAAGCTCTGATGGCCGGGCCAACTCCAAATGGCCTTCAGGGCTCTTGTTCATTGTTGCATAGCAGCCCTGCAGATAGGTTTGTTGCACCGACAGCCTTTATCCTTTACCTTTCCCTGCGTTCACACCAGGGCCACATGACTTTGCCGCTGCCCCCATTAAAAGGTGGAATATATTTTCTTCCTCTCTCAATGTTGATGTTGGCCTTGTGATTCACTTTGGCCAAGGAGATATCAGCAAATATCTTAAAAGCACAGGCTCTTGAGCTCATGCGTGGCTAAGAAAAACTAGCTGGACCCCCTTGCTCGAGGATAAGAGACACTGGAAATGAGAGAAGTCATAGCCTTCATCTCGGGGGGAGTCATCCCAAATCAGGTAGCAATTATGGGCCCTCACGCGTGTGAGTGACCCCAGGGGATTTCAGAAGAACCATCCACACCCACGTGCAGACTTGTCAGCAATATGCGTGTTTGTTGCTTTAAGCCAGTACGTTTCGGGGGCTACTTGTTATGCACCGTTACTGTGGCAATAAATCACTGACGCACCCTTGTTCACGCTGCCGGACAGACTCTGCCTTCATTCTGATGTGACCTCTAAAGAGTTCTCATTTGTCTGTATCTCCTAGTTTCTGTGTCATTTTTTTGCCTTAAAGGAAAAAAAGAAAACTTGCTCATTCCTGCATATTCTCCCACACAAACAGGGATCATTACAAATAGACTCGAACAGTAGCTTCACTACCTCTGTCTGGGAAAAAGAACACGGACAGAGCCTTGGCGACTATCTGTTCAGTGATCAGGATCCAGGTGTCAGTAAAACATCCTGAAGACAAAACCTAAACTTGCCACCTCAGGTTACATTGGGTCCCAGATAATTTTTGCATGTGTTTAAAACCCATAGCTATGGGGCAATGTCAAACATGTTAGCATATGATCTTCTGTGTCTCAAGAAAGAATAATATTTCTTTTCCTTTTCTTTTAAGTACACTCCATGCCCAGCATAGAGCCCAACACAGGGCTTGAACTCACCACCCTGAGATGATCAAGATCTGAGCTGAGATCAATAGCTGGACACTTAACCGGCTGACTACCCAGGCACCCTAAAAGAGCAGTATCTCTATCATTGCACAGGGAATATGGATGGGCTAGTGAAGTTTCCTTGCATCACCAAGTTTTCACAGTTTCCCTCTGAGATCAGGTCAAGGGTGAAGCCGGGGTGTGTTGAGCTGCCTTCCGCACGTGAATAGACTCAGCAGAGCCGTTTACCAGGAAGGGGGGGTTCTACTGATACCGTTAGCCCGCCACTTCTTCCTTTTCCCTTCCTTCAGTTTCTCTGGCTCAGATTCCATTTATTCTGGAAGTTAGCTAATATTTTCCCTTTGAAGTAAACGTTGAATGGGGCACAGTTCTGCAGCCTGGACATTCACGCCCACGTAGGTGAGAACCTGCCCTTCGAAAGCCTGGTCAGGAGCAGGCTGACTCATCCCAAAGCTCATTCTCACCTCGGCCTTTACCAGACACCTTTGACCCACCTTCCCGCATGTCACCCACCAATAGCTGAACCCAGAACTCTTCCTGGAAGCTGAGAATAGAAAATGAGCTCTGCCTACCTTTGCATCTCTCTAGAAGTGCACCAAATGGGAGGTGAGAGCTCCTCCTGACCATCGTTCCTTAAAACCATTTCCCCTGAAGAGTCTGATCTGAAGAGTAGTGGGATGACCACCTTCAGCTCCGCAGTCACTGTCGCTTCCTGTGGTCATCGTACCCCGCCTACCACAGGGCAGCTGCGAGGACATTTCGTCAATTAAACCAGGGCTCGCATGAGATAGCGAAGCCAAGGATAAACCAACAGAAACTTGCTTTCAGATCTTGATTGCCCTCCTGGGCGGTTTTCTTAAGTACCGTATTTAAGGTGTTTCATATCAAAACCTCAGTCACATGAGGACAAGTGATTGACTTTTATCCCAAAGCCCAAACTGCAGCTAAGAATAAGTTTAAATGTCCACAAATTAACACTTGTTAACAAACATCAGGATGAAAATCACTAACCGCTATGACTGGATATACTAAAAAAAGTTGCTGGGGTGCCTGGGTGGCTAAGTAGGCCAAGCATCCTGCTCTTGGGCTCAGGTCTTGAGCTCAGGCCCCGCACTGGGCTCCATGCCCTGGGTGGAGCCTATTTAAAGTCACTACCCAACCCTTGTGATAGCTCTTGGTCACACTAGAGAACTCTTCAACCACTACTCTTATTGATTATGATTATGATTTTACTTGAGATGTCACATGTGATGTTCTAGCATCTTTTCCAACACAAATATTTCAAATATTTACCCCTCAGCTCTGGGTCCCATCAATTTGTAAAATCAGGGGGGATATTCCATTTATTTTATGGCTTATTAATTAATTTTTTTGAAAAATCAGAGAACCAATTGCTTCAGAAGATCAAGAGATAGAAATCAGATCCAAAAAGTTTGGGTTTTTTTTTAATTTATTCCACTTATTTTCTACAAGATATAACATTAAATACAAATCAGATTTTTTTCTGGATTGATTTTCAGTGCTCTGCTCTTTACATCTCTCTCCAGTTTTGAAAGTCTGTGAAAGGGAGTGCATTCTGTTAGGATATGGGCAGACTAAAGTAAAGTTGTCCTTAATCAAGTTCACTAATATATTATGATTGTGTTTTTAAAATATGCATTTTATCTTGTTTTCCTTCATCTTCGAAGAGCATTTTTCACTCTCTATCATAATGTGTGGCGTTTATTCATATTAGTTATTTTACCATATTCAACTGTGTAAATACAAACATTTTTTTCCTCACATGTTGATAAAATTTACAGTTCTTGCAATATTTTTATTTCAGCAGAAACCCAACTCAGAACATTCTGGTGCATGTCTCTTTATATACTGGGAAATAATTTGCAAGGTCTATGTCTTAAATTGTGCACACCTCCTACCACAGGATATTCTTAAATTATTCTCTAAAGTCATCTTTCTGATTATCTTACTTCCTGGAATACGTGATGATTGCTGTTACTATTGCTTCACATCTTGTCCAATTCTTGGTTTTATAAGTATACAAGAGATCAATTTGTACCCATTCTATGGGCTTAAAATGGTGGTGAGCTTCTTTTCATATATTTTTTTGCTTTTATTGGAATTGACTGTTGTGTCTTCTATTTTTCTGTTGGTTTGTTTGAATTTGTTGTCTTGAGTTTAAAATCTTTAAATAATTCTGTGTTATTTTAGTCTTTTGGGGCTGCTGTTTCTAACAGAATACTATACTGAATTGCTTATACACAGAAAAATTTCATTTCTCACAATTTTGGGGTCTTGGAAATCTAAGATCAAGGCGTAGGCAGATTTAGTGTCTGATGGGGGCCCACTGCCTGGTTCACAGACCTGACAGTCTTTATAGGGCAAAAAGAGGCAAGGTGGCCTTCCGGGGTCTCTTTGGTAAAAGGCACTCATCTTATTTATGAGGACTCTGCCCTCATGACCTAGTCACCTCCTACAGGCCCCACCTCCAAATATCGTCACATTGGAGATTTAGCTTTTCAACTTATTAATTTTGAGGAGACAAACAGCCAGCCTACAGCATGCATTAATGTTGTCAGTCAAGTGTAAAACTACTATACACAGATACTGGAATTGAACAACTAAGTGGATGGTGGACTGCGGAAGCCGGGTTTCTCACTGTTGGAATGGGACGTTATGGATGGGCCAGGGGAGAAGTCTAGAATGATCGATGTGGCAACCTATTAGAGATGGAGAAATCAGTATGGACTCATGTTTCAGCTAAGATAGACACAGGTGGGTATACCAAGAATATTTATAGATACATATGTTTACAGGGGTCAGCGTGCACACCTATTTCCCTGCTCTTTCCGTTGAGAGTACTTTAAAAGAACAACACCCCAGTAACAAGCACACCTAATTTGCAGATTTTGCTTCAAATACCATGCTCCAATAAAGAAACAATAGCTTGGGCAAGTGGTATATTCTAGGTCTTGGGTAAGAAATAGACAAGATAAGTTTGGAGTATATTTCCATGCCAAAAAGCAAGAAAGTAATCAAAAAGAAACAGTGATAGGAGATGTCAAGAGGACAGAGGAGACAACTGAAAGAGCTTATAATGTCCAAAGCTGGAACTTTTTTAAAAAAATATTTTATTTATTTATTCATGAGACACACACACACACACACACACAGAGAGAGAGAGAGAGAGAGAGAGAGAGAGAGAGAGAGAGAGGCAGAGACACAGGCAGAGGGAGAAGCAGGCTCCACGCAGGGAGCCCGACGCGGGACTCGATCCCGGGTCCCCGGGGTCACGTCCTGGGCTGAAGGCGGTGCTAAACCGCTGAGCCACCTGGGCTGCCCAAAGCTGGAACATTTTAAGCAATGAGATAAATAAAGCAGTACTGGATTAGAATCTAACATATAAAATAACTATCCATACTGGTATAGCATAAATGACTGAGTAAATAAATAAAGGAGGATAAGCAATTCTGCTGTGTAAATTCCAAATAATTTTGTCTACTGCAAGGAGGTGCTTAGGAAATCAGGCAGCAGATAAACTAATTCTCTCCAGTGTCTCATGAAGTGAAAATATTCTATTTTCCTTCCACGAGCTCAAATCGTCTCAATCTCAATGCTTACTGCCCACTTTTTCCACCCACTCACCCAGTCATGCCCCACTACCAGCCGGACAGCTGCCTGGACTTGGTGAGTAACATTGGGAATTAGGGAGAAGGATAGAAGACCATTAGAGTCACAAATATATAAATATCAGTGTTAAGCTCATGCTACATCAGTGACCAGGTCTGTAACCAAGGTAACAATAAAGCTTTTCTAATCTTTAATTTCCTTAATGTCCTTAAATGAATGTCAATGGTATTTTTTTCAGTTTTTGTTTTGAATTTGAGGAGAATACACATAGAGAGATAGGTATGCATAGATAAATCATATTACATATATAATCATGTATGATTATATTTTTATAATTATATTTTATTTGAATTTTATATTTTATATATTACATATATAAAATTATTGACAGGTTGCTTATTTCCTTTTGAGCTCACAAAATTCTGATTTTAAATGTTTGTTCTGTAAATTTGGTGATGAAAAGAAGGGAAAGAGACATATTCTCCACTTTTATTAACTCTGATAATAGCCACCCCTACTTTGGTTTTACTGTAGGGTATAATTAAGAAAGATCCAAAGCAAAGTCATAAAGGAGAGGTAGAGAAGAAATGCACTATTCTCAGTATCTATCTATTTCAATGGGAAAACAATAACTTCCAGAATAAGTGGGATCTCAGCCAGGGAAACAAAGAGGAGTGGAAAGGGGATGAGGGAGTGGAATAAAGCTTCAGAGTCTAACTCTAGGCAACAGAGATGAGTAATTATCTACTGTACTAGAAGTCTGGACACATTGCAGCTGTTTATCAGAGAGCACCAGGGGCTAAAACAAAGATAAGGAAAGCCCCACAGGGGTTCCTGCTAAAGATTTCTTGGCCCAGATGCTCAGACTATGACAAACACAGAGTTTCCAAACACAAGGAGGCTCCTAGATATGACACCCAAGCACAGCCCATTGCCAGGTCTTTATTCTTTGGCTGCCAAACAAAGAGAATCCCTAAGCTGGAGAAATGTCATTTTCTAACTCAGGTTTTTAGTCAGACGTTTTAAGTAAAAAATTCAAAAATACCTTTTATATTGGATTTTGGTTCATAACAGCGACCATGAGCTCTCATTTTCTGTATTGACTTTTCCTCTATTCTTTCCTCTATTTGTAAAATTTCATATAATCAAAACTTGCAAATGAGATATCTTCTTTTTTCTCTTAAACTCTTTATTTTGAGTTGATCACATCCAGTTACATAAATGTAAGTAGCATTTAAGTGCTAGTGGCTTCCACCATTTTATCCCCAAGTCTAGACACATATTACAGAATGCAGACTCTACACTTAAACACTTATCCATCATTTTACACTCTTATCCAAGCATAAAGGCCCAGTAAAAATCTCTTATTTCCAAAAGTAGCCATTAGCCTTTTTATTTTTTTTAAACTTTATTTATTTATGTATTCATGAGAGACACACACAGAGAGAGAGAGAGGCAGAGGCAGAGAGAGAAGCAGGCTCCATGCAGGGAGCCCAAAGTGGGACTCGACCCCAGGACTCCAGGATTACGCCCTGAGCCAAAGGCAGACACTCAACCGCCGAGCCACCCAGGCGTCCCGCCATTAGCCTTTTTAAAGTGTATGATTCAAAGGCATTTAGTACATTCAGTGTTGTGCAGCCATCACCTCTGCCTGGCTCTGGGAACTCTTCACTACAAATGGAAATCTTGTGCCCATTGCTTCTCTACCCTTCATCCCTGGAAACCACGAATATGCTTTCTGCATGTATAGGTGTGTCGATTTTAAGGGTTTCATATAAATTGAATCACATAATATGGAATCTTAAGAACTACAAACAGTCAAACAAATACTTGTATACATATGTTCATAGCAGTTCTATTCACCTTAGCCAACAGGTGGAAACAACTCAGGTGTCCATCCACAGAGGAATGAATAAACAGAATGAGGTATGTCCATATAATAAAACATTATTCAGCGACAAGAGGAAGTTAGGAACTGATACATGCATCAAAGTGAATGAACTTCGAAAATATCACACCAAGCAAAAGAAATCAGAAACATTGTGAGTTTTTAT